TCGGTTAGTTGCTGTACTTCATCCGATCATAGCTGGCGCCTCGACGCCTGCCGTTGACGTAGACCATCCAACCGACGCGGTCGTCGCCGTCGGGCGTCATCGGCGGTGGCGTCAGCGGCGCGTGTCTGACGCGTCTCGTGTCTAACAAGCGACGCGCCCGCGCTGGCTCCCGATCCGCTCGCTGCCCCTTCCCCTGCCCCCGATGCCCGCCCCCGCTTCCTTCCTCCCGTCGCCGCCGCCACGGGAACCCTCACACACGCCGACGCCATCCTAACAGTGAATGCCAAAATGTTTACAAAAAAATTTATCATTTCGTCGCCTTTCTCACGAAGGGTCCTAACTGACAAAATAGCAAACATTGAGATAACCGGCGTATAGGTGTATTATTCCATGGCGGTTAATCTGACTTAGAGGCATAACTATATATCTATTAGTATAGCTAACAAATCATTAACCCCTGGGTATCTTATCTGTCAAGGTAAATATATAATTCCCACGAAGAAACCTAAATGAGGATAGGTCTCTTAGTATGTTATAATCGTTGCTAGTATACGCACCTCGGTGGTCAAATCATGGCTAAAGTGAAGGGAGACTGCCCACAGTGCAATTCATACTGCGGTAAAGGGAGCTGGATATCTTTTTGAAGTCTCACAATTCTATCCGGTTTTTCGATTGGCCAGAGGACGTCAACCTTATTTAGTAATCCCAAATAATATTTTGACTTCAAGGAACTTTCAAAAGATTTAAGAATGTTGTCCACAAGGCAAACTGAGAAAGGGCAAAATATTAAATGGACGGGTATTCTGGACTTTATGGTAAGAAAAGGCATGCCCACCAAAATATTTTTCAAGTCTAGCCACCACGATACTAGTTATGATAGTATTGAGTTAAAAAGACCGTTGAGAAATAGTAATAATATAAATGATATTAAACTACAACAACTTAATAAGGAACCAGCAAAAATAACAAAAAAGAAATACTCCGACTAAATTTCCTTAAATCCAACACCCGTTGTACGCTTACCAGAATTCCAACACTTTTTTAGAAATTTGCCTCATGAAACGGAATGAAATGAGTATTAAAACTGTTGCCTTTGTTTTTTTGTGTATCATAACACATCAAAATTAGCTGGTAATATGTCAAAAGATAATGGTTAAGTTAGTTGTTTTTCTTTTCGTTTTTATTTCAATAAAAATTGCTTTGACGTTTCGAGTTGTTTTCTTCATCTCATCACCTAATATTTGTGTCTTAATCTACATCAATTTTAGGCTTGGACATTCAGAGAAATGTTGTAGGAGGTAGCCAAAATTCAAAAGTCGATCTGAACTTTTTTACAAAAATTCTGCTGTCAGCAGACCAACGATTACTTAAAAAATTATCAATCAACACATTATTTGAGATAATAGAGATTGGCTGTAAATATGAGTCTTTGCTTATAAGTAAATGAAATAAATTCTGTATATCTGTAATAATAAGAACGTTAATAAAAATATATTTTAGCCCTATGTGACAAAAAGCTTCTGAAAATTGTCACTAAGTGACCGACGTGCATTTTCCATTTTGTTCCAAAATAACTTGATAAGCTAGCGTGTAAATATTGAAACAGCATATGATTGACAATGAATATGGACTGATGCACTGACATGTTCAATTCCGAAATATCTAAACTTTACATACAATGCTCATTCAACAATACCCTGATTTCGTTTTCTTGCTCTCCTGTAAAACTTACTAAACGTTGGTTAGGACACTTCGTGAGAAAGCCGACGATGTCATTGGCATTTTCGAACCTGGTTGATTGAATACTTTCAAAACTGCCATCGTTGCCAAGAGTCTTCCTCAGTATATGGAAAATAACTTTCAGGCATACGATCTTTAAAGAAGGCTCGTCTCCTGACCCCTCATACTCGGGTACCAGAACGCTACTTCTTGAATAGGAAAATCCACTGCATCATGAGAGAAGTAATCGTCCATCTTAGGACACTCTAAAAACCTAAATTTATATTATTGTAGGGCAATGGTAGTCGGACTACGGGAGATCTGCAACGAACCTTGAGTCTTTCCCAAGGTCAGGCGAGAACTAAGAATTTCCTTTACTTACGAGGACGCCATACTGCAAGCTGTCGAAGAAGTCCAGAGTACTTCAGTACCGCACAGCGGTGGTGTTGATCTTAATAAATGGTAAGAAATTTTCATTTTTTTAAACCCAGAATGCTAAGGGTTGTTACCAGATACATGTTTAATACTAGGGGCATAATATTATTATTTACTTCTAGGGTATTTATCTGCAATAAAAATTTGTAAAAAAATAAGACGAAAACCTACATGATTTTTAAGGTAGAGTTAAAAATATAAAAATATGTAACCCTGCAGGGCACTGGCAGGTTACTTTGCCAATTAAAAAAAATAATAAATTGCAGCTTTTAAGATATTTTTTTTGTTTTACGGATGATGTAAAAAAAAAGTTGGGTACAAGATCCTACAGAAATTACACTCAAGAGACGTTAAAAAATGCCTTAGGAAGTATCAGACGTAAGCAACTAAGTCTCCAGGAAGCTACTGATCCATACAAAGTACCTAGAAGGACGCTATGGAATAAACTTCATAATACATATTTTTATTTTTAATAGCTAGGTAAAGAGTTCCTTGTGTTTTTTCTTCCTCTTCATATTAGAGAGTTCCTTTGGATACTTAGTATGCATTGTTTAGATTAGTTACCATAATATAGGTTTTTTTTAGTAGTCACCTACCTATCCAAATATTTTTCAAAAGAAAAATGTCTCTATTAGTAAGTTTAGTTAAGTTAATAAGTTAATGTTCTACTTGTGATATTGTAAACTGAAAGACTGAAGTTTATGGGTATTTTTGTATGTTTCTCAAAGAATAAACGTTGTTTTAAAAAAAAACAATTTCTGTCACAACATTTTTTAAAAACTTAAATTGGGGGCAAACTAAACTATAGTTGACATCACGGTCAGTTTAAAGAGCAGTGGCAAAGTATCACCGATGTCCGGGTAACTTTGCCATTTTTTTTAAACAAAAATAAAAAATATATCCGGGCATAGAAAAGCAAATTTGAATGTGGCAATCTGTAGCCAAATAACGAAAATTATACATAGTTTTTTTCCAAGAAAATATTGCAAAAAATAAAAAATTTAGAAAAGGAAAAGTGCAAAAATCGTTGCAAAGTAACACCGCTCTACGGTACGTCAAATAACGAGCTCCAGCGGATTCCACGTACAGCGAGTTCAATCTCTTCAAGCGCGGGATTAACTTCCAACATTTGAGTTTTGTCAAACAATATTTCAGACGCAACTTACACGAATGGCCTGTACAAAATCCACATTTGATGAGATAAGATAGATCACAATATCCTTTCAAAGTAAACATGTTGACCGGGATTTTAAATGGAGAATTCTTGTACCATTTGAGCTGCCAAAGTTCTGGAATGGCGAAATTTTTTTAACTTTTTACAAAATCATTTGCCATCATTTCCATCCAGTTAGAGAATAATACTGGTGCGGAATACCAGAGCAGATAGATAGGGCGGTCGGATATAATTTGACGGGTATCATGTAAAAAACCTATAAAACGCCAAAAAAAAATCTATAAGATGTCAACTTGCAGACTAGGTAGTTTTTAAGGCGTAAACAGTAATTCCACGTTTGCTCACTAGGATCGTTGTTAACGTCCATCTATGGAGGAATCACTCAACTAAACTACGCATTATTGGTTGCATAGTTTTGTGAGGCTGGGTGATCCGGGTCTAGTTTTTATCTCTGAGAAGAAAGTTGGTTGAATAGCAAGATCGCATCTGGATGATTATGTGTATTGGTCTGCATGTGAATAAAATCAGTTATATTTGCTGTGTGAGAAAATCATTACTGAATATGCCGAATATGACGGGTTATTTATATGTTGTGCTTTCTGAAGAGAGTTTATGTTAAGTTATAAATTACGAAAAACTGAGGAGAATTACGGAAAATCATCACCGCGCCCGCGTTGTGTGTAATTACTGTTAGCATGTACATGGCTTGTAATTCGACAGTGTACAGTGAATATAATTATTTCTTATCTCTCTCATTTTTGAAATCCAGCAAATTTGTATATGTAATTTCTAGAATGGATAAGAAAAAGTGGATGCGCAACTAATTTCTAGCTTTGAATCCCAATTAAGTGTATTTGAGACAAGAACCCAATGTAATTATCATCAACACATACAACTTACAGCTTAGACCTCCAAAAACGCCATCTAAGAAGCAGATTTTACATCACATCAGAGCCAAAGATTGATAACAGGCCTCATGACGTTTAGGCAACACGTACAACTAAGTACTAAGTTAACATCTTGTAGAATAACCTACATAATGACTCCATACATGGGCGTTCAAAACGATCCTAGTGAGCAAACCTGGAATGACTGCGCCCTAAAAACTACCTAATCTGAAAGATGACATCTTATACGTTTTTTTAACGTTTTATAGGTTTTTTACATAATACCCCTGCGGTACTTTCCAAGCTTTAGACGGATCAAGGTTAAGCGGACAGAACGATGGAAATGAGTGACATGTGCATGTCATATAAAATCCAGAAAATATAATGTCACACGCCTAGTAGGCAACATTTTTAGGTGCACTCTCCACCGTCGGGCTGGTGTGATGTGGCGGTGTCGGCACGCGACTAAAGCCTTCCCTCCCTCCCGCTACACTTCCCCGCCCCGGCACCTCGCACGCGCCGCAGAGCGCCTCGTCCGCCCCCGCGTCTCTGCTGCCCCAACCGCCCCTTTTGCGGACGACCGATGCCTGCCGCCCGCCGCCTTCATTACCAGTTCACACTTTGCAACGATCAGACGCGTCCACAGTGCCATCGCGGTGTCTCCAGATCGCACATCGCACGTGCCCAGTGCTGTCTCACCTCAGTCGATTTCAGTACGTGACGTGACAAGTGCCTCCGTTGGTCTCAATACGCGACGAGTCGATGTCCATGCCCGCCAATCAGGCATGACCGCCAAAAACAAGCGAGCATCAGAGCCGAGAAGAGCCAATAAGCCACTCATGGAGAAGCGGAGACGGGCGAGGATCAACCAGAGTCTAGCAGCTCTCAAGACTCTCATCCTAGACTCCGCTAAGGCGGACAACACCAAACATTCCAAACTGGAGAAGGCTGACATCCTGGAACTGACTGTGAGACATTTCCAAAGGCATAGGAGTTTAGACGTGAAGGGAGTAAACCAGTATAAAGCGGGGTATGCGGACTGTGTTAGAGAAGTTCAAAGATACCTTGACACACCTGATGCTCAAACTATGACTGTGCTGGACGTTGGAGTCCGTCAAAGACTCCTCAGGCATCTAGAGAACTGCGTGGCAGAAGTGGATGTTGATCTCAGACAAGCGCAGTTACAACCATTGGAAGAACGATTACAACCTCCCGACTCGAGCACCTTAGAAGAAGTCAATAACAATCATCATCATCATATGATTGATCCAAAGCCAGATCCAGACTCTCTGACACCAAAACCTGTAGCTTCAAAGTATGACGGAAACTTTGTCCTGCTTTTACCAGAACACTACGTCCAACTGGCGAGTGCGCTTGGTGTCAACCTGAGGTCAAATGACATTGTGTCCAGTCCCAGTACATCCACAGACAACGTGATGGATGAAAAGAAACCAGAAAGACCGTTGGACTTTAGCGGAAAGAGCAATGACAGCAACGACATGTGGAGACCATGGTGAATTGGTAGAGACATTTCTGTGCAATAACTAACCTTCTAGTCTAGTCGTGATTTAAGTTAGACAAGCGGCTGGATGTTCATAAGACTGGATTTTTTCTATAAATAGTAGGACTATAGATATTTTTATTCCTCTTCCCAGTCGCTTTCGGACACTTCTGTACATATTATGTGAATATATAAGATGTTAACTAATTATATCACACGTTAATTCAATATATCAAGTATTTGTAAAATACAATAAATGAATGTTTCAGGGATTATTATTAGTCCGAGGTTTTGATTGAACCCTTTTTCATCTATCGGCACTTGGATCCATTGCTACAATTACCACCAGTAGCGAGTGTGTATGTCCATAATGTCAAATATAAAATAATTTATAAAATCAAAACTAATTAACACGGGTTGAGTGCCCACTGACTGAAAATTCCTACAAAAATATCTTATAGAATTAATTGAAGAATTGCCCCCTTGCCTTAAGAAATACCCTGTGAGTTGAGAAAAAGTAAGCGTAAAAATGGAACCTCGGAGAACAAATCAATTTTCAAATACTGGACTGATGTATGGACGACTAAGTGCATACCAAGTACAAGAAGATAAAACAGTGATTTTCAAAAATGTCCCCTATATTTATTTTTTTAACTGGTAAAGCTAGAAATCAGAAAACCGGGGAATTGAATTTTTTCCATGAACAACGCTATGTTTTAGCGTGAAAGCGGCAGTTGAAAATTTGAAAATGGTGGCTGGTCGCCATTTTAAAATAATTGCAAAAAAAATTAAAAATAATTCTGCCTCAAGTTGACGTCAATAGTCACTGAGACGGAATGAAACATCGGTTTGCAGAGGAAAAAAATGATATAGCCTCAGACTGGTGGAAACATGAATAACGTGATTTGAGGTTGTTCTTTTTGTGCCCTCCTGCTTCTATTTCTGCTTATCATGGATACGAAAAGGTGAGTTGCGTATTATCCATATTGCAATTCATTTTTAACTCGTAGTTTTGTTGAGAAATTAAAAATTATACTTATTTTTCAAGTTTGACATATCACGTCTCCTCCAGGGGAGCTAAGGAACAGTGAGCACTAAACGTTGATGTAGTTGTTTTTATTAAAACAGGAATGAGTTGCAGATATATTTTTTTATGTAAATAAGCACTCAATCCTAAATGAAATTCGGAATGAAAACCGTATAATTATTTTACATTATGTAATAAATTTTATTATAAACTCAGAAGTAAAAATCCAAAAAAGTTTTATTTTTTGAATTTATAATAAAATTTGTTATATAAATAAAGTTCATAATTTACGTAAAATTGTACTCCACTCACGCCCCTCATTCTCATTAGCTCTTATGTAATAGAACTCATATTAACCAAAAAATCATGCAAATAAATATTTGTGCAGCTATTGATATTTGAGGATTAACTGTAGGGATTTTGAAGCTCCTTGAAGGCTGTCAAAGTTTGGCGTTTATTATGCAATGTCAATCTTCATATCCATCCGAACAAAAAATAACACTGTTTTGATAAATAGTTCGTTGTTGAGTTATAAGCCGTTTAATGTACAAAACAATTTTGAAAAATAGTGATTATTTATTATATATAATATATGACCCCTCATACCGTTCAGCCACCATCTTGTAATTTTAGGTTGTTATTTTTATGTTAATACATAGAATTTATGCGTCAATTTCATCATTCCAAATGTCAGGACTCTAACTTGACCCGCTGAAAAAATGAATAGGGCGCTTTCCGAATTCCAACATCACAATTCAAATTCCTCATATCCCTTGAAGTGCCTTGTCTACCCTCTTCAAAAACCCGAATCATCTGAAAGATATTTTTGATTGTCTAAAAAATGCTGAAGAAATTTTTAATAATACCGCATTCGTATTTCGTAACTTTTTAGGTCACTTTTCAAATAGCTGACACTCTTGTAGTAGACGCGGAATACATTACCGCGGGTAATGTATTCCGAAGTGACATTTCGTCGGTTTTTTAACATTTTGTAGGTTTTTTGTGACATAACGTGGTTTTTTCTACAAGATGTTGTACACTTGTTGAACTCGTTTTGTAGCTGTACGATTGCTTAAACGTCAGCGAACAGCGATCATAGCGAGCAAATGTGTAATAAACTATTTGCACACTAAAAACTACCTACTCTGCAAGACACTTCATTGGTTTTTCTTACGTTTTTTAGAATTTATACATAATACCCCTGCGGCAACTATCTGCTACCCAGTGCCGAAGTTGATATTTTACCGATTTTTTTGACATTATATTAGTTTTGATGTTTTGATTAGACGCTTAAAATGCCAAAGGGTATGAGACTTGTCTTATCAAAGAGTTGATAGTAAGTAGTTTGCTGTTGAAGTATGATACAACATTTTTGAATTTTTAGATTGTGTAAAGCGGCTATAAGCCGGTTATTACGTAAAAAACCTATATAACGTCAAAAACAAACGGATAAAATCTCAGCTTGTTGACTAGGTAGGCTAGTGCGCAAATAGTCCATTCGGCACGGCTATCTATATTGTGATTTAACCTGTTAAAATGTTTTGCAATTGTAATGTCATTATTTATTTTATATTTATAAGTGTTTTTCCGGCATATTTGCTCAAACGCATATATGACCCTCAAATTCATATCTATTGTCAAGTCTTATATCATGTAACATGATATAATAGGACAATAAACTGTTTATAAAAAACAATAAAATGTCATCTTGCAGACCAGGTAGTTTTTAGGGTCCAAATAGTGCATTCCACGTTTGCTCGCTATGACCGCTGTGAGCGTCCATCTATGAGAGAATGACTCAACTACACGCATTGTTGGTTGCATATGTTTTGTAAAGCCGAGTAGTCTGTAGTTTTTATTTCTGAGAAGATAAAGAAAGAAAGTTGGTCGAGTATCAAGATCGCATCTGGATGATTATGTGTGTTGGTCTGCATATGTATAAACTCAGTGATATTAGCTGTGTGAGAAAATTATTACTGAATACGCTGCCAATGAAGTACCTATATCGATTAGCAATGCCCGACGGGTTATTTATATGTGGTCCTTTCTGAAGAGAGGTTATGTCACAGAAAAATTGAAATGACGCATCATACATCATTTTCGCAATGCCTCACATCTGAACACTATTTTCTGTTGACATCGCAAAATAAATTTCTATAAAATCTAAATGACTGTAAATAAAATAATGTAATAACCATTTCACTTTCATAAATGTTTCAGTCTGTAGCATATTCTCTCTCCTGTTCCTTCACCAACCACCGATTTTCTTATCTCTCTCATTATTTAAAATCAGCTAATTTGCAAATGTGGTGTGCAAAATGTGGATGCGCAATTAATTTCTAGCCTTGAATCTCAAGTAAGTGTATTTGAGACAAGAATCCAATGGAATTATGATCAACACATATTATTAGCACAAAAATCCTCACTATGCACCTATGAATTGCCATTTCCTTCTAGCTAACGAGCTCACAAGTGTCCATCAGCTAGTGCTAAGTTAACGTATTGTAGAAAAGCCTATATAATGTCACAAAAAATCTATACAATGTCAAAAAAAATCGACATAATGTCACATTTCAAGATACGTTATACCTGTACTTGCTACAAATGAGCATGAAGTGAACGACAGCTAGTTCCAAGTTGACATCTTGTAGGAAAACCTATTTAATGTCATAAAAAACGACATAATTACACTTTTCAAAGTTACGTAATACTCGGTCACCAACGAAGCGCGGGCATCGAAAGTCTCCCCATTCCTGGGTCTTGTGTTAACTATGTCTCACAGATGTGTAGGATTACCAGGGCTAGAAGTATAGAAATATACTACCGCAACAATTGAAATCCCCTACAACCCTACTCAAATTTTTTACTACTCAAAAAAATTTCAAAAATGAGCAGAGGCGTCTGAAGCATCAAAAAAAAAGGTTGAAACGATTTTTATTTTTTCAAAAACTACAAAGCTTTTCCATCCTGGCCATACTGCCTAATAACCCTGTGTGAAAATTTCAACAAAATCGGCACGGGTATCACGTATCCTGAAAAGTGACATTATGCCAATCAACAATGTTTTGTCACTTGCCACTTGCCACTATAACCTGCAAAACGGCGGCTACAACGAAGTGATAACTTGCTCATAAAATATTGGATGGGTACTTTCTTCCTGTTCGGCATCTTAGCCTGTGATCAGTACGGAAGCGTATCTGTAGATGGCAGCATAGAACCTTAAGTTTGATTATGTTTTTAATTGGAATATTGAACTTCTAACATGGATATGTACACAGAATAAGAACTGCAATCAAAAAATGCTTTAAGATTCATTGGGATTACTTATGGATTTCAAAAACTTGACAAAACTGCAATCTGCACATAGGTGCCATCTACTGGCTGAAATGAAAAAAAGTGATCTACTACCACTCCCATCTAGACGCGCCGATTCCAAGTTGTAATGTCAACAATATGCGACGCACGTCACGAAGGAGCAAGGAGATAGAGATATAACGAATAGCTGGCACTCAGAAAGAGATAACGAATAAAGTATATCCGTCACGCATTTATCTTTGTCAGCCGGTAACATCGCACCTCGTGCTCTACTTCCACAATCTACTTCTAGAATTTTCCTTCATCAATTTTATCATAGACCGGTGCAGGGGTTATCTGAACCACGTTTTCCGTGTTAATTCAAATAGATTTTATTAAAAACTATACAAAATGGTAAGTAAAATCTATAAAAACTCTTCTAAAAGCATATGAATCTCTAATAGGTACAAACGAACATCATTTTTTCAGAGCTCTAGTATCAAGAAATTGGTTCCCCTGTTTGATCGCGTGCTCATCAAGAAATTCGAAGCACTTTCGAAAACAAAAGGTGGAATAGTTATTCCAGAAAAGGCACAAGGCAAAGTACTGCAAGGAACAGTCGTCGCGGTAGGCCAAGGCTCCAGATTGCAAGTGAGTAAGAAGTTGATATGCTTTACGAACTCTCAAGTCCACAGTCCATTTTGCTTTGATATTTATCCATTGTGACTATCATATTCGTAAAAATATACATATACATGTCTTTCGCACTTACAGTTTGCTAACATTTTGTATTATTTTAACCCAAGGCTCATGACAATAACTGAGCAAAGTTTCAGAGATTGCATGAATTGAAAGTTTGGATTCCACTATTAATAACACATGCTATTCTGGAAATATTATATAAAGAGTAACTTATTATGGTACTGTTGAGTCTTGTAGAACTTTGAATTTTGCTGTTTTATCACTTGAAAGAGGGTATTCCGATAGATTATTCTAAATGAAAAAAAGTGTGGATGAAGCACCCTTGTCTAGAACGTTTTTTTCCAAAAATTTTTAGCAGTTATTTCCACCGCCATGGCCATATGACGTAGACATCTGTGCATATGCCATGTATGAGAGGTGCTTGCCTGCAGTGTTGCTGGATTGGGCTCCGCATTTAGGGAAAAATATGAAAAGTGGAAAATTTATAAGACATATATTGATTAATGAAACACAAAAACGAAAAACTGAAACAAACAACAGTAGCAAAATAAAATGCGATTCTTAATAAGTATAAAACAAATAACGATAGTAAGCTAAAAAACAATAAATTGTCAATACTTATAAAAATAAAAAGTAGTAAAACAAAATAAAAACTATTCCACGTAATTATAAAAAACAGATAAACAGTAAAATAAAAAGCAACTTTTTTATTACATGGAATTGTTTTTCATTTTACTACTGTTTTTACTTTTGCTTTTTCTTATCACCTAGAATAGCTTTCGAATTTACAGTTTTATTTTTTGTTTTTTATAATTACATGGTATTGTTTTTTTTTGCTTTACCACTGTTTTTATTTTTTGTTTTTTATAATTATTTACAATTTATTGTGTGTTAGCTTACTACTGTTATTTTTTGTTTTATACTTATTCAGAACTGCTTTTTATTTTGCTATTGTTGTTTCTTTCTGGTAGATACTCTCATGTTTGTGTGTATTTTTTTCACTCTTATTTTTATTTGCAGGATGGATCATTTGCCCCAATTTCAGTAAAAGTAGGAGAAAAAGTACTCCTCCCAGAATATGGTGGCACCAAAGTAGAGTTAGAAGAAGAAAAAAGTGTAGAATACCACTTATATAGGGAGTCTGACATTTTAGCCAAAGTAGAATAGTTTTTTGACTGATTCCATTTACTTTCCAAGTGAATTAAATGTAAAATGTGTATTTCCTTGAGGAAAAAACTGATGTCTGAATATTTGTAGTTTTATAAGAAGAAAAGATCTGAAACTAAAAGTTTTCAGACTATTGTGGAGTGATGCTTTCAACTATGTTCACTATTTGTTGTTAAAAGCATTGCTGTTTTATGTAGTTTCCATAGTATTTTGTATTGTTTTGAACTGTTAATATATTATTTGTATTAAGAAATTTGTTTTATTTAAATGTGGTACATCCAGTCAGTTGCTTGTGAATCTAGACTTTGCAGTTTAATTAAAATGTAGTTTGAAGAACGTTCTTGATAATTATTGTCAAAGTTATTAAAATGGGGTTCAAAAATTGTAATATTAAACAGGGTTTGAAAAAATGATGGAAAAGTAGCATGTATTTTAATCAGATTTTTTTGCATTCTCTTATTCACCAGTTTTAACAAATCTCCATGTTATCAGGCCCAACAAGTGTTTGAATGTTTAACAAACTCCAGAATTTTTTTGGGTCATTCTTGATGAAAAACGTTTTTCTCTAAATTTGATTGTTTTCGAGATATTAGCAATATTTGAAAAAGCGTGAAATATGCCGTTTACAACAGAAATCAACTGTTTTAATGTTGCCATAAGGGAAATCCGGAAGCATTTTGAAATATTCTAAACCTTTGCTACGCCTACTGGCGAATTTCAAATATAGGATATATTAATCGTTAAAAATCATGCCACTCATTTCCAAATTTTTGAAATTTACTTGATAGTCGCTTATATCTCGAATACTACGACTTTGGAGAAAAGTTCACAAACGATGAGTTGCAAAAAATGAAATCTGAATGTTTTTCGAGCGAAGATACTTCCAGGACTAAAAAATAACGGCAAGACATAAATATAGGCAACCAAGCTTACAGTTATTATGAATATTATGAATCTCACCGTCCAAATGTCAAGTTTCGAGATATTTTTGTTATGCAACGTTAACCTCAAAATTTGCACTGCAGAGTAAAAAAATTACCACAAAATGCCTAAACAAATTCGAATGCACGATGTAAACCCGTTTCTACAAAAGGTCAGAGATTTCCTATTAGGTAGAAAACTCACTCTGGCACTCAGGTTTCCGGACGCTCTGTCATCGAGGTCTCCACCACCCCCGAATCTACCAGATGGGCCCCATCACAAAATAGCTGCCAACTACTATTACACGAGAGATGCCCGGCGCGACGTCGCCCCTCCAGACGTGATAATACCTGCTCCCAAGCAAATTGAGGCTGGCAAAGAGTCTGGTGCAAAAAGGATCACTCCCGGGAAAGTTTATCAGTGGGATTGAAGGCCCACTGCAGAAAATATAGTGTTGTAGAAAGATAATAACATACTTAAGGTAATAAAAAAATAGGCACCAAAAAATTCGTTTTTATGAGAAAGCTGATATACACAGATTGTTGTATTATATATATATTGTTTGAACTGTTGTTCTAATTTTGTCAAAATACATACCATGGTTCATTCACTGTTTATTTTATTCTCGATAGGATTGACCATGTGATGCCCCATTGATCCCTACCCATTAGGACTAGATTAGCTCTGTACTACAAAATTATTTATGCTATTCAAAATCATATTGCTTAAATCACCCAGGTGCACAAGTCTCATTCACTTGTAGCACCTCGTAGTAGAGCATGCTTAGACATAAACACATGAGACCCCAGGTCCACTGAAGGGATTTTTGAGAATTTAGTGGAATGCATTTAAAATACTGTATATTAAAAAGAGTTATTAGAATATTCAGGTTTATATCAACTAGTAGATCTCATTAAACTGAACAAAAAAGTTCTCCTGCTTGCAAGTATGTATGAGAGCTTACAGTTATATACACAAACACATTTGTTGATTTTTATAGCTATAGACTGCATATTAACAGGCAAGCAGGAATTTTTGTTTGCCTTAATATCCCTTGACCATACCCACACTGAAACTAGTCGTATGCTTAGTTAAAATTCAAAATACCTACCTGTTTAAAATGAAATAGAGTTGTCATTGGTATAATTCTGTTTGATATAACCAGTGCAAATAAAGTGCCTCAATGCCTACCATCGATTCACAAAGCTTTGTACAAGTCACTTGAGTAACTTAAGAGTAATCAAAAATATTGATATTAGAAGAAATGAACTTGAACTCCCTGTATCTCAGTAAAGTAACTGAAAGACAATGAACTTTTTTCTATCAACTGGTATAAACCTAAATAACTGCATGTATAAACGAAATTTTAGTAAGATCAAAAGCACAGAAAGTTAACAGGTAACCTTTTTAATATTCAGCATTTTTAACAGATTTCACTAAAAATTCCAAAAATCCGTTCACTGGCCCGGGTTTCGGGCTTTAAACCAAAGAACGTACGCTATTATTGCTTGGTCATAATAGTTTTAAAAAAAATACAAGTCTGCCAGAAAAAGGATTTAGTTTCCTGTAAAAAAAAGCCATGTAAAAAACATTCTTTCTGACAAAAACATTCCTGCTGAATCTGTTAATCAACAGAAGATGGCGCAGTTTTGGTTGTACACATCGACCATTCAACATGGCGAGTTTTTATTTTTAGGAGACTCGGATCCGTTTTTCTGACAAACACGTTTTTTCATCATTCGAAATCATAATGGAAGAACGTGCCGAAAATTCAGCACTTTTGATGCCAAAAAGAATTATAGATTCGGGACTACTTTTCGTACTTCTCTTTTTATAATTTAGTTCATTTTTGGGCTTTGTTACGTATTTTTTTCGCTGGAGCTTGGGTTTCAGCAACATTGTTTCCGTATGTTTCTCAGGTCTTTGTGAGAACTGATCTCTAAAATTGTACTTGTGGATTCAAAAAAGTATTTTTTTGCTGACCCATAATCTTTTTTAAACAATTCTGAACGGTAATTCGACAATAGATAGGTACTTATACCCCTCACTGCATGCGAAAGTATCAAGTCAATCTACTTGACTTTATTTTTATAACGAAGATATCCAATGTCATTTTTATGGGTTTCCATTTTTATCTTATGTGATCAACAATATTATAAATTGATATTTGCATGGGGTTCAAAATATTCCATGGTGTAATGAATAAATACGATTTACAAACCAAATGAAGTATTATCAAGAGGTAAATAAGCTGTTGTTTTGAACTTTTGAATATAGAGTGGACAAAAATTTTAATACGTTCGAAAAGAAAATGGTTAGGCAAAAAACGTTCGCTGAAAACTACGATTTTGGTTCTTGACATCCTTTACGATCGGTTACGATGCCTAGAGTACGGAGACCTGTACGATTTCGTCAACTTAGTGAGTTTGATAGGGGCCGTATAGTGGGACGTCGGGAAGCTGGATTTTCTTTTCGGGCAATTGCAGTTAGAGTGCAAAGAAGTGTAGACACTGTGGTTAGGTGTTGTCAGGCATGGCTTCGAGAAGGCCGTACGCAAAGAGCAAGGGGCACTGGACGCCGCCGTAGAACAACAGACCATGAAGATCGCCGCCTAAGATTATTGGCCTTAAGGGACCGTTTCTCCACTACCAGGTCCATTGCAAATGAATGGTTTGCAGAACACGGAAGACCTATTGGCATGCGAAGTGTTTACCGACGAATGAGAAGTTTTGGCTTGTTTTCATACCGGCCACACTGGGTCCTCCCTTTAACTCGAGAACACCGACGTAATCGCCTTGAGTGGTGCAGACAGCGGTCACTCTGGGATCAGGAATGGAACAGTATTAGTCTTTAGTGACGAGTCTCGATTTTGTTTAGGCATGCACGATGGTCGTGCCAGAGTTAGAAGGCGACGTGGTGAAAGGAGGAATCCACAGTTTTTTGTTGAAAGACATGTTCATCACACTGTTGGAGTTATGGTTTGCAGTGCTATAGCTTATGGTTCCAGGTCACCTTTAATCTTCATCAGAGGTAACATGAACGCACAGCGTTATATCCACGAAGTTCTAGAACCCCATCTTTTACCCTATCTTGACACCCTGGCAGATCCAACTTTCCGACAATATAATGCCCGACCACATGTTGCAAGAGTCACAATAGACTTCTTTCAACATAATGATGTCACATTGTTACCATGGCCACCAAGATCTCCCGACTTCTCTAATGGACAATCTCTGGACCCTTTCGCACCGGTGGCTCTCGCTACGCCTACGGGCTTTGCTCCTCACAGCTCTCCCATGGTGCCGCTGTACGATATGCCTGTCGGACAGACCCGCCTAACTTTGGCCTCGCATCCTAACCGTATCCAACTTCGTACATCCAGAAGTGGCAGATACGACCTCTCCTTTGTCCCCTTCGGTGTAAAAAATCATCAAAATCCACGTACAATATCTGTCGGTGGTACTGTGTTATCAAAAACTACCGTACAAATGTTCATGACCATAACGTTTTGAAGTCATTGTGAATTACCGCTTTCAAGAGATAAATGACTTTTTGGCGGATCAAAATTGATTGACGATACCCATCGTTTGTCCACCGTGTATGGTTATGGTAAATTACACAATGTACAGTTAAGTGAGCAGTAAAGTTGAATAACATGCTGATACGGCGGGCCCATCACAGTCTGTAGAAAATAACTGGTTTGGTAATTGGAGTCGCTTTAGTAGAAGAGGGGGGAGTATTTGAGAGATAGGTCTGAAGGTTAGCTAAGGCACTGATATAACATATTCTTAATCAGTACGCAGCGAGTACTGAACTAATAAGTTATTATTATTCCTAATATGGATATCAAGAAAGTATTAGTCGCGGATGCAGTGGACGCATCGTGCGTTGACCTTTTGAAAAAGTTTAACATACAGGTCGACTGCAAATACAAGCTACCTAAGGAACAGCTGATTGCTGAAATACCGGTAAGTGGCCTGTATTTTATCTAGTATGTCTACTGACTAACGTAATTTAGTTATAATAGATCGTAAAAAATAGTCCGAGATCCCACGTTCAACGAAATTCCTTTTGGGAGGTTTCATAATAAAAAAAATATTTTTCTAACTAGTAGATCAATCTATTTATGCTTATTAAACAATAATTATGGAGTTGTGACTTTTTTTAATGACTATTACGAGAAACTTTGAGATACACAGCAGAATCAAGATAGCTTCGAGAAACCGACACCTACTTTTGCAAAAAAAAAACAAGTGTGATACAATGTTTTGTTAAACATAAAGTATACGAGTACCCACCTCGTGACCAGGAGACCAGGATGTTTATATGATTTTTTATATGCCTAAAAAGTTCACCCAAAATTTTCATGACAATATTGACAAATGGTATATAAAACCACTCTTGTATTGTTATTACAGAACTACAATGCCCTTATTGTAAGATCAGACACGAAAGTAACTGCAGATGTGATAGCAGCTGGAAAAAACCTCAAAGTAATTGGAAGGGCAGGGGCAGGAGTAGATAACATTGACGTTAACGCTGCGACTGAAAAAAATATACTCGTATTAAAGTAAGTATATGTCATTTTAGTAGTAGCATCATAAATTCTATGTTTGCTATAAAAACATATTAACTCCTACGTATTTACCACACATCTGTTTCTTCAAATTTCCCTGTACAACTTCCTTGAATACCCAAGTGAAACAAATTCACTGTCATTCGTATAGTAGTGGGCGCGGTCAGTAACGGTTTTAATTTTTCCTAGATTCAGTCGAATAGTTAATTTAAAGTAGAAAATAATACTGTGTAATTCATAATTATATAGTAAACGATATAAAAGTTGACGTAATTGATACTTATTGATTTAACAAAATGGATACTTTAAGATACAGATAATTGATCGTAGCAGTAAATTTTACTATGGAAGGAATAATAAATCAAATGCAAAATGGCTTTCAAGACCTCTACATTCATCAGTGACTGGAACTTTCAGGCATTACATTTGTCACCTTGAGAAGTCTATCAATTTGCTGTATTTGACAGTTTCTGCCTTTGTTATCTACAGACAATGTAAACATATCTTTTATGCAGTCAATGAATATACTTGATTGACTGATATTGAACTGATTAGATTTTACGATAGAGTCTTTGTCTGTTACTTTAAAACTGTAATACGATGTACGCCAGATAAGCTCTGGCAATTATTCAGTTCACTTTTTAACTGGAATCCGAATTCTTTGCTAAAAATAGCTAAATGTGTATTGCGTTGCCGCTCGAACATGTTTGATCTTCGCGAGAATTTACCTACGTTTTCCTATATTACACATACCCATCAATAATCAAATCCAAACGAATAACCAAAATTTCTGTATTGTGTGCCGCGGTTATAATATAGTCCAAGATGACACACGGGTTGATGACGTCAGTTACACGAATCGCTTGAACGCGTTGGTTTTAACCGCGGTTTTGTTGCAAGTTGTTTATTTTAGAAAAGCGCGTTTGTAATCTCTGATTATTTTTATTATCACTTAATAATCGGTGCTTTTTCGTCTGCAACTGTGTATGGAGAGTTTAAATAAGAAACCTTTCATAATATTTATGGGAGAAATTTTTTTTAATGATGGAAGCATGGCTTTGTTGCTATGATAACTTTCAATTCTCTAAAGTTTTCCGCATGTCAAAGAAAACATTTATTGATTTAGCAGAAATGATCAAAAAAAGAAATTAGCAAAACCGTATACAGGTGGACATCATCTAGTGAAGAGTTTATATGGCCATATTTTAATATTCTTGTGGTATATGGCTACACAGGATACCACAATTTTGCGGTGATAACTATGACATATAACAGCTGATTCATGACGTCACGGATCTGATAACCAAGCTGATATCTACACTCGCTTGAACGGATCGGTAAATACCAACCCAAAATGGTAAATACATTTTCATTTGGTAGCCGCTTGAATTTGATATGCCATACGTTATAAATATCTGGCATTCTGCCAAATGCAAGCGTTCCATCGTCGGTCCTTCCAGAAGCAGTAGCAAGAGTTTTGATGGTGTGTCACTTTATAATGACAAATCTGCGATTTGCGATCGATCATTGGAAAACGTTAACTTTGCATGATCAATTGCAAGCAATAAAAAGTACTTTTTCGGTGGAAGGAAAAATCTGTCTGCCTCACATATATCGATATAATTTCCATGTACGTCTAAGACGGATGCCTCACTATCAGTATTTACTGTGGTCATTACTATCGATACTCACTGATCATCATCATCAATAGTTACTGACGTGATACCTACAAGGTCAATAAATATCAAATTCCACGGTGAATGTTGGCGGATAAATAAATACTTAGCGTGTGACATTCGCCTAAGCAAAGTATTAATCTGTTTTTTTTTTTAACATATTTCAGTACCCCTGGTGGCAATGCTATCAGTGCATGTGAGCTGACGTGCTCCCTAATCACCGTTTTGGCCAGGAACGTGGTCCCGGGTGCTGCCTCTCTCAAAGCGGGAAGATGGGATAGAAAATTATACTCTGGCCATGAGCTGTACGGGAAAACTTTGGCCATTTTGGGGCTTGGAAGAATAGGAAAAGAAGTAGCTCTCAGGATGCAATCATGGGGAATGAGGGTGTGTATCGCGTAAAAAATAGAGGTTATTCTTGTGAGAAAAAGATTAGGCATGTTTTCCACTACAGGGTGATTCAGAAAAACGTGGCAATATATCTAGAGTAGAAAGTACATAAAAAAATATCAAAAAAAAGCTCCCATAAAGACATGTCACTAAATGTTCCATTACCTACATAGAGGGTGTTGTAAGTGTCTACGTCACTATGAGACTGAATGTTAGCCAAGCCAACCTAATCCTGTGTTCCCTCTTTCAAAAATTATGAGAGATAAAATGGGATACTGTAGCGTCATCTGTGAGAATTTGTCACAACTGTTTCTCTATTTGTCATATATACCTTGAAAATGTGAGTGTCTTATAGATGACGTCTATATGTCTATATAGGTGGCGACACTCAAGTAAAATTCAGTACCTTGAACATAAATAAATAAGATATTTCTAAAACCTCAATGTCGTAGAAAATAATTTGCTGTTCCCTTCTGTATTAGTCAATTTTTACGCCACTGGTATTGTCTCAAGTACAAACATTTATCTCTGTATCGGCCATGTACCTTATTCAGACGAATATATATATATATATATATATAAAAGCTTTCGCCTTTTGTTGGGTACTTCGACAAAATTTAAGCAAAGAGGACTCTTTATACTTTTTTTAATTCTCTCTAGCTTTCAATGGACTTTGCCATCATCATCAGGAGCTGCAATTACAATGATAACAGTAGCAACAAAAGTGTAAAATGAATTTAAATTGACTCAACTTACAGTAGTATGTGAGAATTGTTGTTTACGTATAGGATGAGGGAAACGTCCAGTAACATGGCGGAAGCTTTAATTTTTCACCTAACTGGTCTAGACGACTATGACCACGTCTCAAGTTATATATATATTTTATTTCCATAATTATAATTTCACACCCTCTGTACCTCGGTAAGGGGGCATTTTTTTAGGATCCATGTTTGCTTGAAGTTTTCGTATTATCATTTTTTTACCTACGCTGCATACACGTAGTGTGGAGATGCAAGTTTCAGCTATATCTAATAGCAAAACAATTGATTCGTCGGCGTCATTGCCGTCGCCTTTGCATCTTATTGTAATGCGAAAACTTGATTCAAACATATTTGGAACTTCAAAAAACTAATTTGTCGGTTTTTCTTTGATAAATAATGTTTGCCGATTATTCCTGCGCCCACCGTTATGTGCTCTAACTTGTTCCTCACTTTCCAGAAATTGAAGTTCATCCCATCTTACTGTATTCTATAGAAAGTATGATGCAATACTTTCAAGTTTTATCAAACGCTTATAAATAGAACAGCTCGAATGAACAAACATTGCTATCATCAGAGCTTATTGCATCTTCTTAGATATCATTTCGTCACACACATACGTGACTTGGACCACCACGTACAAAAATATTTCATAGCAAATAATCATTTAATTGTTTAACTTTACCATCGATAAAACATGTAGATATCTTATAAAATATATGTATATGGATGTTGATATTAAGAATGTGTATCGCGAATTCTTTGAATTAATAATCTTCATAGAGTTATTAGTAAAGTGAGCAGTTTAGTTATATAAACAATATGAATGAACTCAAATAAATATTTGTTTTCAATCGAAGTATATTCTACGTTATGTAGAACTTGGAATCACACCCCTCAAACAAATTTCGGTCCATATCGTAAGTAGTTATTGAATATTTTCACAAGTGAACCTCCCCTGCAGTTAAAAAAGCCCATTTAACGTTTGAGTTATTCAGACATGGCATTTCGTCGTTTTGTTCATTCATATTTTATTCTTACAGACGATTGGATATGATCCGATAGTTTCAGCCGCAGATGCAAAGAAATTCAACGTTGAATCATTGACTCTAGAACAAATATGGCCACAGGCAGATTACATTACCGTCCACACACCGCTGATTCCAGCAACTAGGAGTAAGTACATTGCATGACCTCGTATTTTTTAAACAGCTTTATCCACTATTCTGGTACACCTTTTGATAAAATTGCAAAAAGAACAATCATGAAGTTGAAGATGTTTTGATGTATGTGTAATTGTTTTTTAATTTTAGTGTTTTTTCGACGCGTTTTTCTTTGTCAGTCATTGACCAGGAATATACACAGCATGATGTACGTACTCGCTATAGCTACCCCACAGCCTGGTAGTGCTTTTTTGTGAGAAGGTTTTGAAAAGAGTATAGAAGAATATGTTCACAATTATATCAAACAGTATATCCCCAGAAGTCAGTAATTTCTGATGTAGATGCCGTAATCTAAGATTTGAATTCCGTTCTAAAAATTGCTGCATGTTGTAATATATATATATGTTGTAACAGTAGAGAAATTATGAACCGACGTCTTATCCTTATTCGAATAGTAAGTAGTTTATACAGGCGAATATGTTCTTCCGTTAACATGTGACTGCATTCAAAACCGGATCCAAAGGGGAGGGGGGGGGGCGGTCATGACCCCCGCTGGGCAAATCGATATCGACCAAATAATGCGTAAATTTTGCTTTCCGCCTGTCAATAGTAAAATCGGACCCAAATGTGTTAATTTATCGCCAATAAAGTCACCGTCCCTGACGCAACAGGCTGGCTCCGCTCTTGTTGGCATTTTAATGGTGCCTGAGGTTTCAAACTACTTAGTTATGACACTTTCCTTTGTTTTCAGACCTGATCTGCGCCGATGTTTTCAAAAAATGCAAGAAAGGTGTTCGCATCGTTAACGTAGCTCGAGGAGGCATCATCAACGAAGTCGACCTTTTGGCTGCTTTGAACTCTGGCCAATGCGGTGGAGCAGCTCTGGACGTCTTCGAGCAAGAGCCTCCAACAGAAAAGGTTACTTGGGAACTCATCAAACATGACAAAGTGGTCGCAACGCCCCATTTAGGAGCCAGCACTACAGAAGCTCAGATCAGGGTCGCAGTCGAGATCGCTGAGCAATTTATCGCTTTGGCGAAGAAGAGCAATGAATACTCTGTTGGGGGAGTTGTGAATAGAGATGTGTATCAGAAGTTGAAGTTGTGAAGTTAAGTTGTGTTCCGATTTATAATGAAATTCCAGACTGTGTCTGTGCCAAAATGTATCATTAATGTTTGAAATATACTTTTCCTATAAAATAGTTTTATTTGCTAAGATTCACAGTCACGCAAGTTTGAGAAAGCCTCATTATATGGGGTAATATCAAACTTAGTAGTTCTGAAGAGAAGCCGAAAGTAAAGATCTTAGTTGATATTCCAGAACTCAGTAGAGCAGTGATTACCATTCTGGCCCTACCTCACCAGCAGGCTTATTACGTAAAAAACCTATATAATGTCAAAAAATCGATAAAATGTCAACTTGTTGACTAGATAGCTGGTAGTGTGCAAATAGTTCATTCCGCGCCTGCTACAAATTAGCATGAAGTGAGCTACAGCTAGTTCCTAGTTGACATCTTGTAGGAAAACCTACATGTGATAAAAAACCTACATCACGTCAAAAAAAGCGACATATCACTTTTCAAGCTACGTAATACCCCTGTGATATTTTACCGGCCGTCCAAAATCGGTGAGTGTGCAAGTAGCCTTAGGGTAGAGTGGGGTTAACTGGACCCATCAAAATTTAAACTCTGTTTTTGACCAGTAAATCGTTGCTAAAAACATACCTTTGTGACCATGCTTTGGTAGTTATGTAAGTAATTGGAAAACGTAATGTTTAAAGTTAAATTTAAATTTATGTGTATGACAGATTGACTTTTTTAAAACCTATCAAATTGTCCAGTTAACCTGCCTGTCAGGTTAACTGGACCACTTATGCAGGTTGACTGAACAGAGGTACAAACAAGATATGTTTTTTAAATTTACTTTTACTTAACACTTTCTACATGGAAATTTTGTCAGCTTCTTATGATTTAGTGCCCTGGAATCTTCATGCGCTGCCATTTTTGTTATTTAATTGACAGAAATATACAATAAATTTGTCATAAATTGTTAAACAGCAAAAATGGCCATGCATGGAAAATTCAGGGCACTAAACCATAAGAAGGCTGGCAAGCTTTCCATCATTTACTATTACCAACCTAATACCCTAAATACAAGTCTAGCCCTCTAGCGAATAAGGCGACTAGCTATAATAAAAATGTTAAAAATATATCATAGAAAATATGTCAACACTTTTTAACAATCATTTTTATTTATAATAAGAAACATACTGAAGATACATTAAAATATTATAGATACTTTTAATAAACTGTAAAGTCAAACATACTGAACATGTATGAAAATATTGTAGGTAATTTTAATAAACTGTAAAGTCAAATTCATTTAAATCAACTTGAAATGACACCATGTTGGCATATCTAGCGCTGTTACTTTTGGCTGGCATGGGTAACTTACAAACAATATCAGCTTTTACAACAAAGCCATTTTCATTATTTTTAAAAAAATATTTTGTTTCTTTGTGGCGTTTTAAAAAAGTAACCTCAAAACCATCATTTACAGCATGAATAATTTCACCAACATAATGTCTGAAATTTAATTTATTTTGCCCATACACTTTCACGATTACAAAATCGCCTTTTGTCACAGCTTGTGGACTATCGTCATATGCATCAAATTCTTCTAAAGAATCCGAGCTTTCTTCATAGATAACACTGTCATCATCAGAAGAGCTGTCTTCTAGAATACGTCTTTTTACTGCCTCTTTTTTCTTGTTAGTTCTTTTGGTTTTTTTTTGTGCTTTTTCTTCTCGAAGTCTTGCTTCTTCCTCTATGTTCTCTTTGACTGGAGTGTCTGTCAAAATCAGAGATTTTTTCTTTCGTCGAATTGTAGACTTTCGTTCACCAGCTTTGGGGTGAGGACGGATCTGTTCAGGAGTTATAATTTGTAATGTCGGCTTTTTTATCTCAATTGAAGATAAAGTCGGTTTGGTTTGTGATTTTTCAGTTTGTAGTTTAGCAGTGCTCGACGATTCAGCTTGTGATGGTCCGGCTTGTGATTCTTGATATTTTGAGAGCTGAAATTGTGACAGAACAGGATCTGTCATGCCATGTTGAATTGGTTTAGGCAGTGATGTATTATCTTGTGACGACCCAGCTTGTGGTGCCTCTTCCTCTGATGTTTTCCCTGGTCTATCTGTAACATATGACGAAAGAAATTCTTCATCCGAAAATATTTGGTCATTAAACGGCTCTATTCCTGCTGCACGAAATCCACTGCATATATTTTTTGGAGTAAACGCTTGCAAAAAAGCCTCTCCAACCAGACATCCGATGTCATAAATAGTGATAGGTTTTCCGGCATGATTTACCATCCATCTGTCACAACTTGCACCATAATATTTTTTAAATGGCCCAAATACTGCTAAATCCAATGGTTGCAGCTTGTGGCTGCAATGGGGTGGCAATGTCAAAAGGAGTATACCGTTTTGCTTAGCAAAATTTAGTGCTGCAATACCTAAGTGACTCTCATGATTATCAAGGATTATTAGTTTGGGATGTTCTTTAGATGGTCTCTCGTTTTGTACGAAATGCTGCAACACAGGAAGAAACAACTGACTGTTCATCCATCCAGAAGGCGAAGCTCCACCCTTAGAGCCAGCTGGAGTTCCATGGAGCATATTTTCTTTAAAGTGTACTCGGGGAAATATTAAAAAAGGAGGAACATATCGTCCTGTAGCTCCAATAATTCCTACAACAGTTACGAGCGTCCCTCTTTCAGCCGACGTCATCTGGCCTACATTTCTTTTTCCTTTAATTGCAAGAACCTTAGGAGGTTTATGGACTGTGGTTACACCGGATTCATCTAGATTGTATATATCATTAGATTGCAAATTATATCTCTCTTTAATCTCTCTAAAATTTTTAAAAAATGCCTCCACATTTGTCTTATTAAAACTGGTTGCCCTACTTAAGCTTGTTTGTTCTGGCGTCCTCAACGAAAAGTTGTGCCTGTTCATAAATCTAAACATCCACTCTTTGCCTGCCATTGCTTCTCGGGACCAACTTTCTTTTATGGTTTTGCCATTGGCCACCGCAAACTCGTAAGCTAGAATACGAGCTTGTTTAGAAGACAAGCCATACTGAATGTTAGATGCATGCTCTAAGTATTTTTTAAGAAGTAATTCTTCATCGGGACTAAAAGCCAAAAGATGTTCGTTGTTGGGGCGAAAATTTATATCCAAGTTGTTTTTTTCCCGACATTTATCGACATACCTTTTTAAAGTAATTCTTGGGATTTTAAACTGAAGTGCAACACTTCGAGTTGTTCGACCATGTGTCAGGACTTCTTCACATGCTTGTCTAAGATCTGCTACACTATATGATCTGTTATTGGTAGTACGTAGTCTTTTTCTTGGCATATTCTAAAAAATAAACTAAATTTGTAGACAAAATAATAATAAATAAATAACGCAGGTTAACTGAACACCTGTTCATATAACCACATACATGAGATGTCCAGTTATACCCACTGTGCACCAATACATAAGCAAAAGAAAAATTTGATTAAAAAATAATGTTAAGCTTAGGTAAACACAAGAAATAAATGCTAAAATACTTACTGGAACAAAATATACGTCAAACCAATTTAAAAACTGTATTTTGCTAACTGTAACACAAAAAAACTTGGGAGCACAAATTTTACGTGGCGGCCATTAAAAATATGTTTGCTGATTTACGAGATTAGAACCGACTTAAAAGAAATCTGCACCGAACAGTGTCAACACACGTAACAAAAGACGCTTTCAGGCAAAATCAAGTTTAATTTATCATTACTAGATGGCAGGAACATCGATGTGTTCAGTTAACCTACCTGTTCAGTTAACCCCACTCTACCCTACATATTCATCAATTTGATTTTCGATTACAGGGGTTTTGGTGCAGCCCCGCTCTATTGAATTTTTTAAATGAAACCAAGTGGAGCTCAAGCAGGGTGCCTGCTCTTCAATTTTCAATCACCGACAAGTTGCTTTAATGTCTTCCAAAATTATACCGAAAGATTTTCCACACAAATCTACAGAAAAAAGATCGACATACCGGGCAACACTGGTTGCGGATGTAGCAGTAGTTAAGTATTATGTGTTCTGTGGGTGGCAGTTAGCATACTATCACTCGATTGACGGAAAACAGATGATTGTCAAAATAAAATTTAATTTGATTCTCGGTTTTATTATATTGTTTCCATTATTGAATTACTTTTTATGCTATTGTTACTGTGCACTTTTTTCAAGTAATTTATCTTATCAGTATTTATTCTGAGTGCTGCCGTTATTTGGATTGTACAAAGTTTCCACTTACATATCTCGAGTGGTTTTCATATGTTATATGTTCAAATTATTTTATTTGTACTGTTGCAAATAAATCCACTAGTGACCATGGCTATGTCCTGCGAATGCCCCCTCACCCAAAAGTAAGTTATTTTTTTATTTATAAAAGGTCAGCTCAAATGCATTACATTTTTTGTAGACGTTGCTTGAATATGGGGCCTCATACATATAAAGTACCTTTGAGTTTGTTTCAAGAAAATAGAGAAAGACTAGTGAATGCTCTTAAAGAAAAATGTGAATCATCTGTGGTGCTTTTGCAAGGAGGGGATGAAGTGCCCTTCTATGATACAGATATAACTTATAATGAATTTAGGCAGGTAAGAAATGTATATATATATACAGGGTGACTTCGAAGTTGAGTCATTTATTTTAACAGTGAGTAGATCTGATCAAAAGAAATGTTTTTTTCCTTTACCATTTTTCTGGTAAAATTAAAGTAACAAAGTTATAGCCCTTTGGAAGTTTGAGTACCGCCCTGTCTCAATAATGATATTATGTTCTCGTGTTTGGCAACAACAGATATAATCCGCCTTATCCGTTCATCGCATCGGAAACAAAAAAGCGAAAGAATTTGGAACGATCTTTTTACACTTATTTTCTTCAGTTGTATACAGTCAGTATCAGTCGGTAGTCGGTAACGCGTAAGTGAATAATCGTGTCTGTTGCGACGCTCAAATCAAAAATGGCACATGTTTACGAAAATGCTGAACTTGTGGACATGGTTCTTATTTACGGGGAGTCTTTACAAAATGCTGCCGCAGCATCACGGATCTATGCGGATCGGTTTCCCAATCGAGTGCAACCAACCCCTCGTGCCTTTGTTAATGTAGTGCAAAGAGCTCGTGAATCAGGTGACTTAAGACCTCGCAGAGGAGATCATGCCGGTGCTCCAAGACCACACGATCAAATAGAACTAGAAGAACAAATTTTAGAATTAGTAAGTGATGATCCAACAGTAAGCACCCGACAAATTTCAACTCAATTGGCGATTAGTCAGTATAAAACTTGGAAAACTCTACGTGAAAATCAGTTCTATCCGTTTCACATACAAAAAGTGCAGGCCTTACAACCGGAAGATCATGAACAAAGGGTTGACTTTTGCAATTGGCTTTTAAATAAACATCAAAATGATGACAATTTTTTAAATCAAATTTTAGTGAGTGATGAAGCCCTCTTTACTAGAAACGGAATTATTAATTCACGTAATTCTCACGTTTGGGCTATTGAAAATCCCCATGAAATAAGGGAAACCAATTTTCAACAGCGATTTGAACCAATCAACCTGTGGGCGGGAATTGTTAATGGAATTTTAGTGGGGCCTTTTGAATTACCAAATCGCTTAACCGGTGAAAATTATTTTGATTTCTTGCAACACAATTTGCCTGGTTTACTGGAAGATGTGCCTTTAAATATTAGACAAAACATGTGGTTTTTACAAGATGGGGCACCACCCCATTATGCAAGAAATGTGCGTGAATTTTTAAATAGACAATTTAATAATCGTTGGATCGGCCGTGGCGGTTTTGTACCTTGGCCGCCAAGGTCTCCGGACTTAAATCCTTTAGACTTTTGTTTGTGGGGTTGGCTAAAAACTCTAGTGTATAAAACACCGGTTAATACACGCGAAGAATTACGTGCTCGAATTGAGGAAATGAGTACAGTGATCAGAAATCAACCAGTGATTTTATTGCGTGCTTGTAAAGAGACATGGCTAAGACGCGCCCAGCTGTGCGTCGAGCAAAACGGAAATCATTTCGAACAGTTTTTGTGACATGCTTTTGGGCGCACAGGTCCGCACTGAAATATTTGTCGGGAGGATACTTTATAAAACAAGGTAACATTTTTTTTTAATTTTTTTTTATTTTTACACACATATTTTGGTTTATCTTCCTTCTACAATCATTATCTGAAAATTAATGACTCAACTTCAAAGTCACCCTGTATATATATATATATATATATATTTTAATATTTCTACTTTTATAGCCAGAGCATCAGTACAGCAAATTTTAATATTGAGAATATGATGCATTCATATCTACTCATCAATTGTACTGTGACAAAGTAGGGCTCCAAATTTCAGTAATTTGTTTCTTGATAACTTACTATTATTAATAATTATTGTCATAATCAATATAATATACATATATATTTTTTAGGAATCTTACTTTATGTGGAGCTTTGGTGTGACAGATGCCGGTTGCTATGGTGCTATAGATGTAAAAACAGGAGAATCTTATGTATTTTTTCCAAGATATCCAGAGGAATATGCAGTATGGATGGGGCCATTACATGAATTAGAACATCTCAAGAAAAAGTATGCTGTTGATCATACCTTTTATGTTGACCAGGTAAGCATTTACTATAAATGGCACTGGCTTTTATAAGGAAGTTATAAATCTTGGGTAACAGGAAAATATGAGGGACAGGTCTCATGCAAGTGAACTAAAAAGGAATTGACAAAAAATAAACAAAATGTCACTTTTTATAAAATAAATTACTTTTTTCCCTGGGAAAAAAATTAGTACTTTTTTCCGGATATGGATGGATTTGTTGTTGTGCCAATTCCGAAAAATAAGCCAATAACACCATCTACAACAAAGAACTGCATGTTTTCTTCATCTTTCATTCCATGAATCTTCTACTAATTCTGCTGGAGTCAAAGAAAACTCAGAATCAGACATTTTATACTTTATAATATTAAAAACAACTTCTCAACAACCACTAAGTTCACAATTTTTAAATCAAATAACAAAATAAAATTGACAGCTGTTTGATTACTTTAAAAGTTTCCTTAGCAATGCAGGTCTAATTGTCTCTAGAAGTACAACTTAGCCTACTAATTTCAAAATGCAAATTTCACGTCAATAATTTTCTGAGTTAAATATTGTAATAATTTAATTTTTCAATATTAAATCGTCGCTTTTCCTGTCACAGAAAAAAACTGTGTCGTTTTTTTGTCTCCCATGCTGCGCGTCGGGAGACAATACAACCTCAAGCTAAAATCTAGTACTTTTTTCCCTTGTATAATAAATAACTATTTTCTCTCCATAGCTCAATGAGGTTCTACAAAACCTGAAAAGGGACAAGCTGCTTACTCTGGTAGGTGCTATAATATATGAATGTTAAAACCATAGGTTTTATAGTTTTACCATTTTGCAGAAAGGAAAAAACACTGATAGTGGATTAGTTGCCAAGGAAGCACATTTCAAAGGCATTGAAAAGTACGTATGACTATATTTTGTTGTGACCCTCTTATTAACAAGTTAGTAAAACATTTACCAAAAATTAATAAAAGTAAAACTGGTGGTGAATATTTTCTCATTTTATATTATTATGTTTCAGATTCAATGTGGACAATGAAATACTTTTTCCTGTGATTGCAAACTTGTAAGTAACTCCTTGAAATCCGAAAACACAATGTAAAACCCAGAGTTTACAACTTTTTGATAGGTTTTGGCAACATTGCACCAACTTGACTGGCGGAAGTCAAAGATATCTGGCGTTGTTGCCAGATGACGTTAATAGTGAAAACCTGGCTTTTACACTTTTGACTATGCCATATACTTTGATTTCTTTGAACTGTAAACAGAAATATTTTATGACCTTTATTTTGCATATTTTGTAAATAAACGATAATTCTTTAGGAGAGTATATAAGACACCAAATGAGATCAGCGTCATAAAGTACGTTGTGGAGGTATCATCAGCCGCGCACCGTCACGTGATGAAAGTAGCAAAACCTGGTTGGTTCGAGTATCAATGCGAAGCAGAATTTTTGGCTCATTCCTACAAGAATGGCGGTTGCAGACATGTATCTTACACCTGTATCTGTGGATCAGGTCAAAACGGAGCTATTTTGCACTATGGACATGGCGGTAGGCCCAATGACAAGCAGATCAAAGATGGCGATCTGTGGTAAGTTTATAGGTACCGATTGCCATAGTAACACATACAATTTCTCTAGCCTTTACATATCTCTTACTGAGGACATTTTTATCTGTACAAGCTAATTGTGATTTGATTAAAATTTAATGACACGGAAAGCAATATTGAATTATTAGTCATAAAGATTAAATGCTAATTGTCATTCCTTATGTAACATTTAGCTATAGCCAAAATGGCGGACGAAGGTAATAGCTTTATTTTATGGAGCCTCTAAACTGGCAATATGTTTACTGCCATATTTACAAGCTTTTTTCATGTATTGCTGGCAGATTGCCGAACTATTGATATCGTACTTAATTTACGAAATGTAAGCTGTCGCGACACGTACAATTTCATTAGTTATTCTTGCCTGGTTTTCTAACTCTTCTGATTAGAGTGTCTGAAAATATATGTGTTTATACATTGCAGACAATAGTGCCAAGATAAAGCTGAGGTATATAGCCGAGCCTCAGTTATAGCCAAATATTGCAACAAAAATGTTTTTCATTTTGAGTCTTTATAGGTATTATTGTTGCAACTTTTTTCAGTTTGTTTGATATGGGTGGAAATTATTTCGGATATGCAGCTGATATAACTGTAACTTTCCCGATAAATGGGAAATTCACACCTGATCAAAAATTTATATATGAGGCAGTTTTAGCTGCAAACCTTGCTGTACAAAAAACTGCCAAACCAGGAGTTTCTTGGACTGACATGCACTTACTGGCATACAGAACATTGTTGGAAAAGTTGAAAGATGGTAAGCAGTAATAAGCAATTGGATAGATTGTGAACCGATTATGGACAACAGTTCCCTTTGCTATTTGAGATAATAGTTACATGTTGCAGTGAGAATTTGGGAAATACATTATTAGCCAACATATTCCTAGTTCAATCCTCAAGGAATATGAGGCCCGAAAAAGTTAATGATAGGGACTAGGAATGAAAATAAATCCTCGATCCACCTGAAAATATGACGTTTCAAGATATTAACTTGAAATGGCACAACAGCCAAACCACACTAAAAAATCTTCCATTTCAGCACTCTTGTGCAAAATCAATCTGGGGCCAGCATCTCAAAGTGCTATTACTATAGTACATTTCCTTAGCTCTCATTCTAAGAATGCATATTTCTAAAATTTTGCATGTTTTGCGAGTTATAAAGAAAAGAAAACGATCTTCACATTCAAACTGATATTTTTCGAGCATCAGTTGTTTCAGGTGGGGTGAGGATCGATTTTTATTCCTGGTGCAAACAACTACCACCATGCCAAATTTCGGTCTATTATTAATATTTCTAATGATTCAATAAAATATTCTTCCTAAGTACTGTACTATTCCAGCATAATCAATAATAGCATCTGAGTCCTCAGGGTAATGTGCCAGGGCTACTAGATTTGTAATACATATAAATCATATTCAATCCATCCCTGTAGATTTCACTGTCGCTAATTAAATTCTTTCATAATGGTCATTTGTTTCGACTTTGAAAAAAATTGCTCTCTTGCAGGTGGACTGTTGCGTGGTTCTATCGACGATATGATGGACGCTGATTTGGGCGCAGTGTTTCAACCGCATGGTTTGGGTCACTTGATGGGCCTGGATGTTCACGACGTTGGTGGATATTTGGAGGGATTCCCAGAAAGATCCAGCAGACCTGGTCTAAAATCATTGCGTACTGCCAGGTTGCTGGACGAGAATATGGTCTTGACCATAGAGCCTGGATGCTACTTTATTGATCCGGTAAGCGCTTCAGGATTGAAATAGACTTTGGTTTGATCAGTTTTTCTTTGAAATATGTTTGTAGTTGTTTAGGGTGGAGAACGTAGGTACCTCATATAAACAGGTTTTCACTCAACTGTCTCAGAAGGAGGGTTATGTTTTTCGCGCGTGGACAAAAATTCTATTTCACGGGTTACACTCCAAACGGCTTGATGGAATTTGACATATGATGTACTGAATTCATCTTAACAAGCGAGTGACACTGGGTATACTAAGTTTCTATAAAATTAAAATGACCGATTGTAATTTCTATTGTGTACTTTCTATTTCACTGCCTACATCTTAAATAAAATGTCAAAACAGTATGAAGCAGCGTTGTCACAGAGCTTGGCACACTAGCATGATACTCCCATTCATGACGTTGTTTTCGTCTGAACGAGGTGTGGCGAGTTCGCCTCTGACGTGATATGGAAAGACGAAAGTCCATAACCACTCACGCTCGGTATCAAACACTTTTGAATTTCAGGCGCTGACCGTCGAGAACAGGGTAGAAGCATCTGACTTAGATATGTGCGGTGAAACGCGTCCTAAGGGAAAATTCACTGATCTTCAAACACTCGTATCATATTTTTAAACTTTCAGGGTGTTCATTTGTTAGTTCAGCGTCTGCGATATTGTGTTCGCCCGAATTTCATCTTGCAAGTATTCAGTTCCTAACCCAAAAACGCTCTCAATCTTTTTGCTAACATACCACTAAAATCTGAACTCAAAACTAAACAACGACAACAACCGAAAGTGTTGTCATGGTCGCTTTGAAGGCATAAACTGGATCGTGATCGTGTGAACCATGCACTACTGACTCACTTTCCACCTTCCACTCAAGGCAAGAGTTGTGACAGATATACATACAATAAATAAATAAAATTAGACAAACAACTATTTTACAAACTTCAGACACTGTATAAAGACATTCACTCAATAAAAATTGCTTCACGATAATTTTAAGAGGCTTTTATATATTCCGTAAGTTTTGTGTTTTGGCTGATCTGCATTGCAGTGTCTTTTACATAAGTTCCAAGGACGCCATACCTTTTGGGGGTTACGTAATTGTAAAATCGATGTTGTTTTCTGAATTCAACTATTGCCGATTCTCCGAAAACCAATCATGAATTTTGTCTAATATTATTACATATACTTGATAACGATGTTTCACAGGCATTAAATATGATGCAAAGTGAATATTGCATTCCAGCTTTCATCGGAAAATAACTTTACATTAGAGAAAAAAATTACTTCTTTAGACTGGTCAATAAACAACATTTGTTTTTTGCAGTTACTAGACAAGGCGTTGAATGATCCCAAGCAATCTCAGTTCTTGGTACCAGATGCTATAAAGCGCTTCCGTGGTTTTGGAGGGGTACGAATTGAAGATGATGTATTGATCACTAAGGAGGGAGTCGTAAACTTAACCAAAGTACCACGAACGTAAGTATCATACTTTATAAATCATCCGAAACTGTATCGGCTGGGCGCCAACTTGTAGCTTTTTTTAATGGAATGAGGGGTCTAATGATACCATATTTTGAAGCCGTTTATCAGTACACTTTAGAATCCTAGAATACAAAATCACTGTCTTTTAAAATGGCGGACTGGTAGGCTGTCAAAGCTAAGCGTTTTTGTTTTTTTTTCCACCGAATCAGCCGTGCAGGCAGAGGCCTAAATGCCAGAGCACCGCGGCTGCTACGAGGAGCTTAAAGAAACTATATTGAATCGCTTATAACTCAACAACTAATTATACAGGGTGTCCAATAAGTATCAAAATTTAAGAAAAAATTCAATATCTCAAAAACGGTGACACTTTTATGTAGGTAAGTTTTTGTTATTTGGGAGGTCAGTTCAAAGCCTACCTTCTCCTTAAGTTTGTCGTGGTACTTATTGGACACCGTATATCAAAATATAGTATGTTATGCCAATATTGTTCTTTTGCAAACATTTCAAATTATTGATAAGGAGAAATTTTATATTAAAATATTTAACTTTTTCCAGGGTTCAAGAAATAGAAAACTGGATAGCAGGCAATGAAAGAGATGGCAAATATGCTTGAATTTGGGACAGTAAGGTTTCATTTGAGAAGAGAACCACACAGATTTATTTCTATGCTTGTCAAGCAAAATGTTATTTTTATATCTGCTTACATCCTGAATTATCAAATAAATATTATCCCCAGATATTTTTTTCAGGATTGTTACTAATGACTTTTCGTTTCGTAAAAGTTTACTTTCGAAATTTAATGTAAAATTCAATCAGAAAAAAGTAATGTCAAATAACTTTTCAATAAATAAAAAATATTACATCGGTCCATCTCCTAATTTCATCTTAGCTGCTAAATAATGTTTTTACGGTACAATATATACACGGTAGTTTTCTTAAGATTGTTGAAGTTATCAGAGATCTATCTACAATGTTTGTATCTACTAAGTGCTATTTATTTTTCTACGAAGAAACGTTTCACGTGTTTGATATACTTCACTGTTTCACGAACAAAACGTACACCGTCTATCACCCCCTTCTGTAGACTCTCTAATCACAATCAAAATTACTAACATCCGCAACAGCTGGCCATGCGTCGGTGTCACTTTCTGGATCAGCTTCATGATCAGACAAATTATTTTTTGCAGCTGATGAAGGCGTTGGTTGGTACGACGAACCGTCAAACATCGACGAATAATAACTGTCCATTTTCTTGGCGGACGTAGTCGTGCCAATACTGTTCAGACCTTCGGTGGCTTTCTGATTGTTCGGATCTAGTTTTAAGGCTAGGTTATAGTGGGTGAATGCATCTTCGTCTTTGTGAAGAGCCACGAAACAGTCCGCTGGAAAAAATAAGTGCAGAAGGTCATAGAAAAAAAAAACATACCTCTGTCGATGGTTCAATGATCCCAGAATGATTAAGACTTTGAACTTGAACTATACCACCACCAAACTAAGTATGATACACAAAGAATACCACAGAAGCCGACTATGATGAGTTAAGGTGCCATTTAATTTGAGTGTCCCCTAAAATGATATACACTGCACCACCTATAAGACAACTTACCAAAGTATGAATAGTAAATAGAGAAATAGCTGTGTCAAATTCTCACATTTTATATTGGATATCTTGGGAATATAGCATTAGATTGGCTATCTTCAGATAGAATACCTTAACCAATGATTATGGTCACAAAGAATCTTTACATCCAACAGACACCACTCTCGACTATTACCCACTTGTATTGTTTTCATGTATTTTCTCCACCATATGTTGACCTAACCTAGGCTAATGCGACAATATCTTGATACAGAAAAAACTTACCAAGCAACTGATGTAACTTTGACGTAGGTCTAAGTGTATTTATGTGTTTCTGGATTAATTCTACAGCTTGTTCATACTGTTGGTCACTCATCATATATTCAACAAGCATAGGTAGGGCGTTTGTCGAACCATTTTTGTCCAGTGCAACAGCTTTCTCTAAAGTTTTCTTTAATGTTTTACTGGATGCCATTGGATCTTTGAGTAGCACTGCAGCATGCAACTATGGAAAGAAAAATAATTTCGACTGTATACCATCATAAAAACAACTTCAACGTGGGACTAGCATGATAGTTGGAGTTTGAACATTTCCTAACATGCTTAGTAACAACAAAATTGGACTCTGTGTGGGCTATGGTGTGGTCCATTTCAATGTTTAGTGGTCATATATAGCTTAAAATGTAGTTTTATTAGATTTCAGTTGAACGGCACTATGACCCTAAACTTCCTTAGATAATGAAGTACTTACACAGTATCCATGTGCAGAAAAATTATGTTGCTTACAATTGATTGCTGCAGATTCGGCGTCCCTTAACCTGTTACTTTGAATATAGCATTCTACTAGGCACTTGTGAAGGTCATATCTGAAATAGTTAAATCAGTTGATTGCCCAGTTTTTTAATTCCCCCATAGCAGTATTAAAGTCTTTTTCACGAGTATAGATTACGTCAAACGTGATAGCAAATAACAGTTGGTTATCTAGTAACATTTCAAAATAACCCATATCGACAAGTGGCACAGAATTCTAACGATCTGTAAGTTAGATCTATAGACAGTCACATTTTGAAAACTTCCTTCACACACAAGAAAAGGCAGAATGGCTGCTAATGATCATGACTATATTTCAAATCAGGTAGAAATGAAACAAGTTGAACAATTATGAATACGGTCCGGAGTTTTACCCGATTCACATCCAATTCATTATTGCCAACATTGCAGACTTCAATACAAAGATGTTCATCTCAGCAGACGTCAAAACGTAATGAATACTCGTGAAAAAGACCACATAACTCTCACCTATATGGACATAGCTGTAAGGCTTCAGTACAATAATTAGCAGCTATCAAGTACCCCTTCAAGTGCAGGAAAGCCTTAGCCTTGAGCAAATATGCATCAATATTTGTCCGATCCATTAGCAAAGCTTGCTGACCAAAGTATCCAACTTTGTCATACTTCTTTAGAGCTAAATTATAGTTGCCCAGCACTACCCAATGTTCACACTGCCAAAGGGATGTGTCTAGAGAAGGGACAAGCCCTTCCAAAAACCTGATGTGCTCTTTAGTGGCAGATTCGGCAAGCAGAGTGGAGAGTAAGTCTCTGCCTGTTACCAAAGTCGGATCAAGGCGAAGGGCCTAAGAATATACAAACATTCAAGTAATTAAGATACCCAATGATGTCGTATTTGGACGTTCACACACAATTTCCATCATCACAGCCACCTTGCCCAGTAGGACGGCAGTAATTCAAATTTTGTTTCCATTATATTGTTTTTTTCCATTGATCTCAAGACTTTACTTGTTTCCTCGTTATTCAGCTAATGGGATTCAGTTTATGTATCACGCTTAACAAAAAATTGAAAAAAGTTATATGTTATCTGAATGAGGATGGCTAAATATGCAAACAAAAATGAGAAATTTACATACTGGAGTATTATTCCAAAAAATGTATATACTTGTAAGAATAACTGGCTGGCAATGCAAGTTGATGGCGATGCCAGAGTAGCTATCCCTATTTTTGTTCAGGTGTGGCAATCAACCGAATTGGGTATGTACTGGTGAAATATGTTAATAAATGGTTTTATTGGATTTTACCACGATACCTTGCTACTTTCCAACTTCTGTGTCATTACCTTTTGTAAGATTGATATAGCTCTGTTATCTTCACACATATAATGATAACAATATGCCATATTGACAGACAAAAGTACATTGTCTTTAAGCAGACCATGTGTGTCCATACTCTTGAATGATTTTATAGCATTTGCAAATTCTCTAGCATTCATCTGAGCTTGTGCTTTGAGCCACTGATTAAACCAGGAAGATTCTGAAGATAAGTCCAGTATCAGTGAACTAACTTCAACTCCCTATAAAAAGGATATTAAAAATTTTTTATAATTAAATTATATATAGTTAATGTAAAGGAAGATTTTAGACTCAAAACCTAGTCATATTTATACAGGGAGTCCCAAAATTCGATGTCAAGCCAGAAATGGGGATAGGTCAAGTCATAATAGTTATCAGAAAAATATACAGTAATGGACAAAAGTATATAGACAAATTAATATTGTTGTATTTCCTTTTTAACTAGTTTTATTAATATACAAACCTGTATGCAGAATTCGTTATAGCATAAATAAATTCATTAGACTCCCTTCAATAAAAAATTAATTGAAAAGAACTGGAACTATGAAGGTCAAAAATATATAAACAAAGCAAAACAATTATAGAAAAAAGAAGCAAAGTTCATTGAATTATAGAAAACCAACCGTGTGTGTGTTAATATTTTGTAGCCTAACCATTGTTATCAATCACCACCTGGCATCGTCTCGGCATAGATTGTAGAAGTTTCTTGATATAAGATTAATCAATCTGTTTCCACATTTGCTCTAAAGTTCATCCTTGTTTGAATATTTTTTATCTCATATTTGCTTATCTAAGTATTCCCATAGATTTTCAATGGGGTTTATATGAGGAGACTGTGAAGGCCATGTGAGAATTGCTATTTTTTCATCCAGAAAGAATTTCTTTGCAAGGTTTGAAGTGTGCTTCGGGTCATTATCTTGCTGGAAGATTGATCTTAAGGGCACATTGTTTTCCATATAGGGTAACATGACATGCTTTAGTATGTCTGTATATACAAACTTATCCATAATACCATCTATTCTATGTAAATGTCCCATCCCAAATTTGTGGATGACGCGGCATGGTCTTAAAATCACTCAACTTATTCCACAAAACTTGATGAACACAAACTAATTCTCTTCTGACACGAAACTGTACTAAACTAATATTGAAAAGAATTTGTCTACATATTTTTGTTGTTCAGACCTGTATTGTGTTCATTGCAGATAATGTAACAACAAGGAATTTAGTTTTTCTACTAATGATGCATTTGTTTATGGAGCAATGAAGTATGAATTCGTTTTCTAAAGGTATTTAGAGAAATATTCATGTTTGTCTATATACTTTTGTCCATTACTGTATGTTGTTCTTTTCAAATTATAGGCTTTAAAGAAATCGAAAAAATCCACACCTTGTGATGGTCGTTTAGATCACATTATTATAAATTTCATTTTTTTCTTGGATGGAGTGACAGTATCATTCTACATAGTGACAGTAAGACAGATAGTAACGCCACTTTAACATTTTTAAATGCATGCAAGTTTTAATTTTCTCTCAGTTAGGGTCCACAATGTCAAAAATCTTGGCTAAAGGAACATAACATGCATTGTATATTTGAGCTTTCAAAAAATATGCCTGAAATGATCTTACCTTTACCCCTAGTTTGAGAAGATTTTCAATCGCATCTAAAGCCAATGGGCATTCCCTCAATACCTCCTTAAAACATGTTAGTGCAGACCTTTCCATACCAGTATCCCTATATAAACAACCTAGAGCCATGTTAATTTTTGGCGTAAGCATTCTAGCTGGGATGGTTTGTAATATTTCTTTAGCAGCTGATGCCTGTTTCAGTGCTACTAGACAAAGATGAATTTTATATTTGATATCAACATCACTGGGTATATCATTGTGATTATCATTTATCTTATGATTCTTTGATTTTTTTAAACTATTTTTCCTCATTTGGAGTGCCTGTCGATAATAATGTTCTGCTTGTTGATACTGACGCGTTTGGTACAATGCATCTCCATAATAGAGGAGCATCTGTATTTTGCCCTGGGCGCTACAACTTCCTGGTTTCTGCTCACAAAGTGTTAATGCTAGATTGCACTACAAAAAATGTTTGAATAGACACTGATTAGAATATAATACAAAGATTCGCAACTTACAAGTTTGATAACATTTGTATGTAGGTCTTGCTCACGTAACTGCTGTAGGTTTTTCAGAATATCTTCCATTTTTCATTCAGGTTTTGTAAAAAAACGGACAAAAACCCTTATAAACATATAACCCACCAAATATAGGTTATATTTTGTTTTGTTTTACGTCAAAACCACAGTGTATCTGTTCACAGTGCTGCCAAATCCAATGATCAGAAGATTTGGAAAAGTGTGTATACAGGGTGTCTCGCTATAAATTGACCCCACCCCTCTAACTTTTTTGTATAGTCAGTTACAAAGAAATGTTTCATACAAAAGTTGTACTTTGAAGACGTTCATTTTCTTAAAACACAAACAATCCGACTGGAGTAGATGAAAAGAATGAAGATTCATTGTACTATCAAAAAACCCTAGAATTACCTCTTATGTCAAAATTGATCTTTACTGTAAACGTTTCAATAACGAAGATACTTTTCTTGAGTACAATGAATAAAAAATATATTTTATCATTGAACTGATTCACCTTTGTGTTTGAAACGTTTATAGTAAAAATATCATGTGGTTTTATTACCCAGACAAGCATGACGGATTATCGAGTGATTTCTAAGTTGGCCTGTTTTATTAAAGTCCATCATTTTATCTTCATAAAATTTCAAAATAGCCAGTATCACTGACTCTGCTAAGATGGATCCAATAACACCTCGTATGTCAAGATCTATTAATAAGCCACTTTCTGTATTTTTCACGAGTATCTACGAGGCGTGTTTTTACAGTAAGTACCGTGTTTAAATTACGCCGCCGCAGCGCTGCGGTCGCCGTTTAGCGCACGCGCGTCATGTAGCTACATCTGTTGGGTAGCCACAGACGCCGTTACGGAACCATCCGATCGAGTCTACATCTGTTTGCGTGATTTTAAAATGCCTCCACCGATTGTGAATCCCGCCGACTGCGAAGTGCGTGCTGTAATACGGTTTCTCTGTGCACAAGGCTTCAAATCAGTTGAAATTCATCACCAAGTCAGTGAAGTGTATGGTGAAAACATTATGAGTGATGGAAGTGGGTTAGGGCCTTTAAAGATGAGGAAGACCTGCAGTCATTACCGATGACCTGATTCAAAAAGTGGACTGTAAAGTAAAAGAGAACAGCGATTCACGATTTCGTCCTTAGCTGAACAGTTTCCTGCTGTCTCAAGAAGTGTTCTTTACAAATTGTGTCCGAACGTTTAAATTATCGGAAATTGTGTTCACGCTGAGTGCCAAAAATGTGAAGCAGTGGTTGTTTACTCAGGCGGCAAGCTTCTTTGACGATGGCATACAAAAGCTGGTCCCAAGATACGATAAATGCCTCAATCGTAATGGGAATTACGTAGAAAAGTAGAGTAAAGTATGGCCTTTCAAGTGACAAAATTTACTTGTTGTTTTTTTAGCTCAAAACGGTACTTACTTTAAAACCACGCCTCGTATTACGGTATAATAACAGCTGATTATCTAGTAATATTTTAGAGCTCCCTGCATCGACAAATGACATAATTCTAACCGATTCGTCAAAGCCAGGCTGTGGCCAGATAGACAGAGCCGTATTTTGGTTTTTTGTACGCTAAAGTTTCATTTTGTACTACCTAGTAAAAGTTTCACTGTTTTTGAGATATTGAGTCCGAATTAAGCGGGTAATTTATCGCAGTACTTTGCAGTAGTAGTCTAGTAAATTTTTGTTTCATTGCTGATGAGTACCAAAGTTGAGTAAAAAAGTTTTCTGAAATAAAAATTACGAAGAAGAATTTAGTTTGTCAAGTTTACCTACTTGCATTTATCGAAAATGATATTTCAAATGGCAGACCAACTATCTGAGAATATTTTGCAAAAAAAACCGAACAGATATCCTGTTATTTCGAGGCACAGCAACAAAAAGTAGATTAAAAGAGGAAAGTTTTCGAAACAGACAAAAATAATAATATCTCAAAAACAGTTAAACTTTTATTAGGGTCATTATTTGGTATGTTGTAGATCTGCGCTTCGCCTATCGTCCATATTTTTCAAACTTTTAATCGCCCTGAATCTTCGAACCGAAGACATTTTTCGAAAACGATTTAAGGACAAAGTATCCTCCAAGTAGACAGAATTAGTCCTTGATTTTTTAGTGAACATACTGCTAAAAGAAAATATTTCCGTTCAGTGAATTAAAAAGTGACGGGTAATATTGTTAGAATTTTTGAAAATAAAGATCTGGAATTTTAGGCTTGCTGTCGATAAAACACAACGTCCTACAGGATTTTAGCAAAGAACTTCCTTTCTCTAGTTCGTACCTTTGCTGCTACTTAGTGTATGCAAGCCCGTATAAAGATACAACATACAATCAATAGCAAACAGTCATAATTCATTGTCTTAAAAATATCGAATGTAGCGTGGTACTTATTTCTTATAAAAAAAATGTAACTACACAAGAGGTAATAGGAGATGAACACCTAATACAATCGGTAGGAGCTCAAAACTAACGCAGAAATAGATGAGTATCCATAACTTACTTAACTTGCTCTGACGACAGCCAGTTTCTCCAGAAAGATCTGAAGAAGGCACAATATCCAACGTGAAAATACAAAGAGATGCATCACTCACATATCACATTTTTACACACAATTATTATCACAAAGCTACACTCCACTCTTTTAAGTCAAAACGTCATCATGACACTGCGGAAATCGCCGACAAAAGCTTCCTTGCACACAATAACAACTAGTATAACAGAAGCAGAGCGTTGCACGGAGGTCTCGTCACACCATCCTCCACGAACGCCAACCGACAACTGAAGCGCGTGGCGTTAGCTAGCAGCGCAGGCAGTACGGTGGTACCGCATCGTCGTCGTTCTGCGTCGTCACTGGTAGGGATTTAGCCACTCCTCCTTCCAGCTTCCAATCTTTCTTTAGGCGTCTACGTGAACATCAATCGTGCGGATCAGGGGGGTGAAACGTCTGATGGGCGAACTGGCAACACCAAGGCAAAATGGAAGATACTGCATCATACAACATGTGACCTGCTGCTTGCAGGGATTCTCTATATTTATCTAAATGTAAGAACGTGCGGATTACGAAGATGAGGGTAATCCCAAAGGTACTAACTACAAGAAGCATTGGCTTTCAATAATTCACACACCATTAAACCTAAAATATTCATTCTATTTTGAGTTTGAACATCCATTTCGTTCCAGATCTCCGCCAGGTTCTTGAGAAAGCAGTGAATCTCATCGATCACTTCAGTGTCTGAACTGAATCGCTTCCCGGCCAATTGTGTTTTTTCAATTTGAGTTAAAGGTACTGTGAAACACTGAAAAAAAACTACGACCTGCAATTCAGAAATAAAAAGAGTAATTTTGAGCAGGTGCCTGATGATTCTCAATGACAAGTCACGTCACCCGTCAAACGGTTGCTCTTTTGAAGTTTAGATGATCTTCACCCACCAACCATATATAGTGCGGATTTGACATCGTGTGATTCTCATCTGCTGCTTAAGCGGAAAAAACATTTGTCAAGATAATCAGGTTTGACGAATAGGTGAAAAATAGGGTTCAATGCTTTCTTAAGGAACTGGCAGTGAGGTGGTGTGACATGGTCATACGAAAACTGCCACAGAAACCACAAAAATGGATCGACTGGACTCGCAATTACTCAAAAGAATAGACCAGTTCAGAAGAATTTATCTTTGTAGATAAGGTGCATTACAATTTGCCCTAGAAGCTGTTTCAAAGGCGTGGGGACTTTAGAGTCGGGATCTCGTTAATACATCATACACCACTTGTTTTATCACATATCAGCATTAGCGCATCCTTGTTGAAAAACCCTTTATTCAAAATATTAAATACAGGGATTGTTGTAAATTCTTGCTTCTAAGATATTGAATATTTTGGTCATCCACGGTTGATCATATCTTAAAGGAGGGTGTCCATAGAATACTTAATAAACATCCACAATATGTTACGAACTCGTTCAGTGTACGAAAAACGTTTTTATTAAAACTAGTAGCTTTAGGAAATTAAAATGTGTTAACTATACTAAAACAATCTCACCTCACAGGCGCTTATTTGACAACGCTGCCGGAACATGGTACGTCATATCTAAAGATGTTTTTGAGTCTTTGTCTTGTGTTCTGTCGTTCTGTGTCACGATTGTCCTAACCCTCCTAACACACAGGCGCTTATTTGACAACGCTGCCGGAACATGGTACGTCATATCTAAAGATGTTTTTGAGTCTTTGTCTTGTGTTCTGTCGTTCTGTGTCACGATTGTCCTAACCCTCCTAACACCTAACCTCTAAAATTTTGTGTCGTATAGCAGTTGTGTTGTGAAAGCTGAAAAACAAACAAAATAAAAATGCAATTGGCCAAAATCAAATCATTTTTATGATTTGTTGGTGTCGAGGAAAAATCAGAGTAGTTGTGGATTTTTTAGCTTTTTCCTGCATAGCACATTGTATCAGAAAGTAAAGAAATGGGTTTGCTGACAGACCCTACAGCAGGCCAAGGCAGATTCGTTAAATTGCTCCTAAAGTATTGCGATAAAATATGTGCTCTAATGTACATTGTTGGCATATTATGGTTTTGCTCCCTTGCTTATCCAGCTATGAATGCAAACACATACTTTTCTGAGAATGCTTTGCTGCCTGGATTGGTGAAAACTCAGTTTCGAGAAGACAAACTTGCCTTAACATATCATGAAGAGTTGCTGGATGAAATGAAGAAATATGATGACTCAATACCATATCCTTGGTTGTTAGCTAAATTTCGACAGATTGGCCTAGATGTGTTTGTACATAATTTTACTTTGAACTCCCCATTGAACAAAAAAGAAGTGAGTATTATGAACTTTTATTAGATTGTTCTAGTTTATTTTTCTGTAGCTACACGTGTCTTGATAAGTATGTATGTATCAATCACACAGTTTTGGAGTGAGATTCATCAAGTTCCAACCTAAACTTAACAAAGCATTGCTGACATTAATATTTTTTGAGTTAACTTGTGAGCTGTTCAAGTTCACCAAATCCTTTTTTCTCATGGCCAGGCTTTAAATGGTGTTGTAGATACAGAGCAGCATTTGTTATGATCCCTGATGATGGAGGTACTGGGTGTTTCATATTTGACTCTCACAATTGAGATCTTGAAATGGTGAGGGATGTGAAGTTGGTGATGGACAAAAATAACTCCATTTTCCAAAAACCATTTTCTCTGACCTTAGTTGAGGCAGGATTTCAAAACAAATTGTACATTAACCTTGTAATTAGAATATCATTTCATACATTGTTATTGTATTGGATTTTGCATGGGTAAACAGAGCTTTAAATTCTCATTCCAAAAATATATGTCAACATTGACATTGCCAAAACTTAGTTATTTGGAATATGTTTAGCAACCTGCAACATCATCAAAGCTTTTACTTATGTTTAAGTACATAATTCTATCAGTTCCTTACAACCATGTCATCTTCAATCTAACTGTGGAATTTATTTTGAAATCCCACCTTAAATAAGTCAGAGAAAGTAAAAATGCCTTGGGAAAAATTGAGTTTTTCATCTGTCTTCAGAAATTCTTTGAATTGCAAAATTTTTGATGAACAACTTTGTGCCCATTTAAGTGACTTGTATCTTTTACCATTTGTGAGATCCCAAAGGTTAAAGTAGAGTTTTTTAAACACCTGGTATATACAATATGCAACATTTTTCAACTATATTCCTTCTAGAGTCAAGGTTTAGCCCTCCTAAGTTTCCTTAATCTGTTATCCAAATTAGAATTTTACCTAATTCTAAGTAATATAATTTTGTAGAGATACACAGGTCAGAATGTTTATGGTATCCTGAGAGCTCCTAGAGCAGCAAGTGTGGAGTCATTAGTTTTGAGTGTCCCTTATCGACCACCAACAAGTGTACACCAGACAACATCACCATCTATTGCTGTGATGTTGGCTTTTGCTAAATTCGCTGCTAGTAAGTTTGAAATCCCTTTCATATCTTTAACCATTACATTAGCTATAATGATTTTGACATGAAATCAGCGGCGGATCGTGGTCTATGATACAGGGGGTTCACAAGTGGTATAAAATAATTTTTTTTTGCCACCACCAAAATTTTTATGTAATGCGTGACGTAGAAGGCAATAAGAGTACTAAAACAAGCATCAAGGACACATTTTTTGTTATTTTTTTTTATTATACACAAGAAAATACATTTATAAAAGTACAATTTGTTTAATGAGTACAGTGTTTAAACGTAAAGTCCATTCTCCTGATTTTATTTGCAGAAAATTTATCAATAACTAACTCGTTAAAGTTTGGAATACCCGCTAAACATTTTTTCTCGATAGATAGCATTGCTAGCGCTGACAGTCTTTCTTCATTCATAGAACTTCGCAAAAATGTTTTTATTAACAATTATTTGTAAACGTGTAAAGGTGTCAGAAAATATGCTCTGAAGATTATTTTCTATAAAAAACTGTAACAAACTAATGGCACCAGTCATATTCCTGAAATCAGGTCACCGGTAAATTAATTCCAATTCAGTCTGGAGACGAACTTTATCTAAAAACGAATATGCTTCTACTACAGTTTCCAAATATTGCAATGGAAAATGCTTTTCTAATTATGGAAATTTATCAGAAGAAAGAAGAATAGCTGCATTTAAATGTTTTGTAAAAGAAAATCAATCTGTTACATGTGTAATTATGGTATCACAAACTTCCTTGGCTGCAACAGCTCTGCAAATATGCTGGTCTTCATTTACACGACGCTTTTTAGTTTGAGTAGTAGTGGTATCTTCAGAAATTTCAGTTTCAATTGTTTCCAAGCAGTCTCTCTCTTTTTGGATGCAGTTTTCAAAACACTCTATGGCAGTCTGAATTTGCACTGGGTCAGTCACTGTTTTTTGTAACTGATTATATAAAATATCAGCATGTGGCAATATTCAATGAAATACAGTTAGCCAGAACACAAACTTAGAATCTTGTAGCATACGGCCAATACCAGTGGCTTGATTGATGGTAACAGTTTGTTTTGAAGTAGCTTCTATTTTTTCCATGCATTCTATTAATAATTCGCGATATTCATATTCTGTATTTATAGATCTGCTTTTAAAATTCCATCTTGTAACAGAAGACCTAGGAACTCTTGCACAAACAATGTCATCCAAAACTGCAACTCGTTGTGGAGAATGTGGAAAAAAAAGTTGAAATATAGCTTAAATTTGAAAAAATACCCGTACTTCTTGATTTTGGCTTGTAGCTTGCAATAAAATTAAATTTAGCTGGTGGGCATAACAATGAACGAAATAAGCATAAATGTAATCACGTTGAATAAGAGCTTGAACACCTCCACGACGTCCATTCATTACACTAGCGCCGTCATAACTTTGAGCTATCAGTTTCTCTGGTTTATCTAGCACCTGTATTAAATTAGTTTTCACACATTTTGAGAGACTAACTGCATCGTGATCAGGGGGGGTAACAAAATTCCAAAAACGTTCAACTGGCCTTCCATCTGGTAGAATGTACCTAAATACTGTAGTCATTTGGTAACAATTAGCTACATCCGTTGTTTCGTCAGCCATAACAGCAACAAATTCAGCTTCCAAAATTTCTTTTCTTATATTTTCCTGAGCCACTTCTAACATGCAATTTAACAATTCGTTTTGAATGATTTTTGATACCCCTTTGAATACTGTCGATTTTTCAAAATGATCTTTAAGTGCTATATCTAATTCGGCAGTGAAATTTATTAAACCTCTAAAAATACCAGGATTTGATGAACCATCTTTTTCGTCGTGACCGCGGAGGGCTAATTCAGAAGCTCCGCAAAATTTTATGCAATCAATAATTTTTGAAAGCACATACCTATTCTTTCTAACTTGTTCATTTTGCTGCTGAATACTGCGCCCATATGCACTGTCCAACTGCTGCCGTATATCTACTTTTCCCAAAAGCTGCATTTCCAGTTGCGCATTGATATGGACTTGAGTGTTTTCATGTTTCTTAATTTTTTGTGCTAAATGTCCCAAGTCGGCTATTCCATTTTTTGTCCAGGCAGGCTCTGCAACCCCATGACCAAACAACAAACAGGCAAAACAAAACAAACGGTTTGTTGTGCTGCATCCACAAATCCAGTTATTCTTTTCATATATTTCCATTTTAAACTTTCTAATAAAGTCTCTAGATTTACCCTTTGTGGTCTGAGTTAAGTTAATTTCTGGTGTTGGTCTTCCCGCATTTTTTATTTCAATTTTTTGCTCCAAACTCAATGAACTGAAGTTATGCTTCAAATATTCCACAGTGAAACCATTATTAAATGGATGTTATACATATTTATTATTATTTATTTTGGGGGTGCACGTGCTCATGTGCTCCTACAGTGGAACCGCCACTGCATGAAACCATATGCAATGAACCACAATTCTTCAACACATTTTGGCATGGTTGCTTGTGTGAATTTTGTATGGTACCCAGTTATTTAAATTCTGGCTGAATTGGAATGCAGATATGTATATTGACAGCTGTATTGGTTGGTTCATTCTCATTGTCTACCAAAACATTCCTAATTACTTTAGTCACGTTTTGATGTGATCAACTATTGTTAAAAGTATTATTTTATTACACAACGCTATTCCAACTGAATTTAGAATTTTTCTGTATGATTACCCATTTCCATTTGCCCGGTAGCCACATCAAATATCCTTTTGTTTGGCAGAAGAAAAATACTGGGCCAAAGATATCATCTTCCTGATCACAGAACATGAACAGTTGGGTATTCAAGCCTGGCTTGAGGCATACCATGGAGTAACATGTGGTAATGATGATGCCCTGGATCATGGTGACTTGAGAGGTAGAGGAGGAGCTATCCAAGCAGCCATCAATTTAGAGCTGCATTCGGAGAAAATTGGACAGCTTGATGTTAAGATTGAAGGTTTGAATGGACAGTTACCGAATTTGGATTTGTTCAATTTGGTTTCGAAAATGTGCTCTAGAGAGGGATTGTATCAGACGTTCAAGAATAGAGGACTTCACTATTATAGGAATGAGTTCAAAGAATGGTGGCGCTATTTCAGGAACACTCTGGCTATGATGGCCACACAGGCATCTGGGGTAAGCACCTGAATTTTCATTTGTATGTACTTGAAAAACGCGATTGTGGTAACCGAAATGTCGTCAGCAAACAGTATTTCAAGCATATGTGGTTTCATTTAACGGCCACACAAACATGGAGTAACTAAATGTCTTTTTTGTTTTTCCAATTATGTCTACATTCTGAACGAAATTTGGTATCTTGGACATACACGGAAATGATTGTTGAATGTAATTTCAGATACCAAATGGGAATCATGGCCTTTTCCATCGCTTTGGTATTCAAGCTCTCACTCTGGAAGGTTTTGAACAAACAAAAGCAGCAAAGAGCAGCATGAAAGTTGGTATGCTGAGTCTAGGCAGGATTATTGAGAGCATATTCCGTAGTTTGAACAATCTATTAGAACGTTTCCATCAAAGTTTTTTCTTCTACTTGCTTCCAGCTTCTGATAGATACATTTCTATAGGTAATATAAATAGTTTTAGATTAATTCAAGTATAGCAAATTTGTTGATATTCCAGGTCTGTATATGCCTGCTGTGTCGCTGATTGCTGGAGCTCTTTTTATAAAAGCATTTGCCAAATGGCTTAAGCTACAAGGAGACTCTGACTCGTTAGATAATAAGTCAGGTGAGTTTTAAAGTTCAAGATGCTCTATACAGGGTGTCCGCAAAGTTGGGGTTTTCCTTTACACGACGTGTAGATCTTAAAAACATAAGCAATTTTTCTTAGTACCATATACACCAATGTCTTAAGGGAACCGAGATAAAGGGCTCTGCAACATCAAAAATATCTGAATACCGTCCTGTAGCCGCGACTCGCGACATCCCCAACTGGTACTAGGATACTAGCTCAACCCGACGACAGAACTGGGTCGGGGTCAGTGTGTCAGGTCAGTATGCAACCTTCAACCGACGGTTACGGTCACGCGTGTAGAGATAATCGCGTAGACGTGAATCCCTCAACAAGCACTAGAGACGTGGCTAGAGAAGTGCAAGTATCAAAAACTAAAGTGTGGCAAACGCTGCGTGAAGAGGGGCTGTATCCGTTTCACTTCCAACATGTACAAGCCCTTCAACCTGACGATTTTCCAGCAAGAGTGCGGTTTTGAGAGTGGTTGTTGCATCAGCATGACAATGATCCGGACTTGAAGTGCATATTGGTGACAGACGAATCTACGTTCACGCGTAATGGGGTGAATACCTTTCGCAACACTCATGTTTGGTCAGTAGAAAATCCGCATGCTGTCCGTCGGCCACATTTTCAACAAACATTTTCGCTGAATGTTTGGGCTGGCATGGTGAACGGTATGCTCATTGGACCATTTATTCTCCCAAATCGATTGGACGGGATGCAATACCCAGACTTTTTACGCAACATTTTGCCTTCTTTGTTTGCCTGCGTCTGCTCGGTAGCGCATCAGCTGATTTCATTTTCTGTTGGAGCCGTATGATTTCGGGCAGAGACGTACTTAGCCCTTCTCGTCAACTGGAGAATGAGTACTTTTTCCTTTATTTTTTTTACTTGGTCGCCCTCGTTTCACTACACATTACCTTTGTTATTTTAAGGGTAGTTGTTTCTGAAAAGGAAAACCCCAACTTTGCGGACACCCTGTATAAGTGCGTATTTATAAATATTATATTTATTTTTCAGCATCTTTTGGACAAGAAGTGGAACCAATAAAAATCATAGTAACTTTTATCTCTATCCACCTGTTCAGCATTGGGCTACTTTATATGCCTCAACTTGTAAGTGAGGCCTGTGAAACATATGACTGTCCTGTGAATAGAACAATCTTCTATGCACTGCTTACAACCGTGACAATTGCCATATTGATTCCTTTCCTGATATTCGGATTCTTCGATAAAAGTATAGAGATCCTGAACGTGTTTGCCATGTTAGAACTGGGCACAGCCTTAATATGTATTTCCATGACGAATTTTTCACTGGGCATGTTTTGCGCCGTTCTTTCAGTGCCTTTCACGTTGTGGGTTGGACGGACGAATTCTAGGTAAGTCGGAAAGCACTCCTTTTTATTCAACTGTAATGAAAACACCGTTTTTACTATTTAAAGTCTAATTTAATACTCTCACAACGATTTGTTACAACACTTGCAACTAAGTCATTACAAATGGCCATCGCGGACCCGTTAACAGGATTTTAGTTGGTGGCGTCCCATCCTAACCGTGTCGAACTTCGTACATCCAGAACTGGCCGATACGACCGCTCCGTTGTCCCGAGGGTGTCGAAATTGTGGTACAATCTCTACTAGAGGAAGCTTTTCCCAGTTCTACCAACCTTAGGCAGTTCAAAAATCGTATTAACAAAATTTCTTTGTGATCATCATAGCAGCCGCGGTGTTCCGGCATGTAGGCTTCTGCCTGCGCGGCTGCTTCGATATATGTATATATAAAAAAAATAGTTTGTGTTTCAGGAATGCCATTTACCTGATAGATGGTCATTAATGCGGCATCAGAGGCGTACATGTGTTACTAAGGGCCGTATCGTTAGTCGTGCCTACAATTGTAGGGCGCCTTTATGGCCTCCTTGATTGTTATAGTTTTCTACTTCTCCGTGTCAGAACTCTATTTTGAGGTTATGTCACAAACATCTATTTGCATCAAATTGTGCTTGCTTTTGAGTTATATCATGTTTTATCTGCAAGGCCCGTAACGTCAGTCGACCCTACAATTGTAGGGCGCGTTTATGGCCTCCTTGTTTGTCATGCTCCTTTCTCTCCTTCAAAAATTTCTAGATTACACTTGTCCCGTGTCAGCGTCAGCGCTCTCCTATTGTGAAGATATGTTTTCTTTTTAAATTGTAGGAAATTTCTGGCTGATAAAACATGATATAACTCAAAAGCAAGCACAATTTGATGCAAATAGATGTTTGTGACATAACCTCAAAATAGAGTTTTGACACGGGGAAGTAGAAAACTATGACAATCAAGGAGGCCATAAAGGCGCCCTACAATTGTAGGACGCCTTTATGGCTATCTTGATTTTCATAGTACTACCCTCCTTCTGAAATGTTGGGATATTTCTAGATTTACACCGTTCTGTGCCAGCGTTTGCGCTCTCCTATCGTGAAGTTATGTTTCCTTTTTGAACTGTAGGAAATTTAAAGCCGATAAAGCAGATGATATAATCAAAATCATGAATAATTTGATGCAAATATATATTTGTTGCATAACCTCAAAATAGAGCACTGACACGGAAGAGTAGAAAACTATCGAAATCAAGGAGGCCATAAAGGCGTCATACAATTGAAGGAACGACTGACGATACTGCCCTAAGGAATCTAAATTTGGCTCAAAATTGCAAAACAGCATTAGCAATTTATTTTAATTTCAGGATCGCATCAGTGCTTCAAACATTGTTCCTGTTGCTGATACATCCTATTACAGTGCTAGCAGCAGTTGTGCTTGTAAACACATACCTCATGTTTCCCAAAGATCCTCAAAAAGAGATACTAATGACAGCTTGGGATGCTACTCAACAAGCTGTCATTTATAGTATAGCTGATTCGATGATTTACGGTAACTGGTTATTTACCGTTGTTACTGTTGTATTTCATTCTAATTGGTTATGTTACTGGATAGTCGTGATGAGTAAGGTTAGGAAAAATGGCGGGAAAGGGAAGTCGAAGAAAGAGAAAAAGGAGTGAAGTGATATTTGCAGGTGCAAATGTGATCATAAACCGCAAAACATAATAGGTGCTGTTATGAAATCGCAATATTGTATAGAATCGTGATACTTCGTTATGAACTATTATTGCTGTTAGGAAACCCAAATCACGTGATGTCTAATGGATGTAGCTGTTGTCGGATATGTTTGTAATGATAAGTAAATTTGCCTTTTTAAAAATATGCTATGATCTTGCATTGTTGTGGCTATACCAGAAAAAGCTGCTGCGAGAACTGTTTGAGTGTCAGTGACAGTGCTTTGATGTATGACATCGAAACATCAAGTCATTAACAGCTTTTTTTGACTACATTCTAGTTACCAAGTATATTCTGGTTTTCTATGTTTTTCTTCAAATTCAAACAATATGATTGACGATGAAAAGATCTTAAGGTGGAATGTCCCTTTTTTAAATTTCAACTTCCTGTTTGCAGCGATGCTTTTTTTGACGAAAAAAAAAATTAAAAAATTGTTTTTTAATCATCTCTATACACGCCATGGAATTATCAGATGAAAAAGGTTTGGAATACTGCTGTAAACAGGAAGTTGAACAAAAATCTAAAAAAGCGACGTACCACCTCAACCTAACCTATCAGTACAACTTTCAAACTTGACACCTCGATACATGCCTGCGTATGCGCACTACTATGCGCTGAATGGCTGAACCAGCAAAGATCCTAAAACAGAGCCGCTTTCCAGTGCCTCATTTGTGTTACTCGGAGTAACTTGGAGCTACCCACCACCTGTCAATACCGTTAGAGTGCTCTAGTGTCGTGCACCTGAGCTACTCATTTTTGAAACCCCCTGTCCCTTCGTGCACCAACTTTTTATTCGGTGTTATGCGCTCCGTGGAGATAACGAAAATGACAATGTGTCAAGATTATTAGATTATCTTTTTCATCGTTTTTTTTTTTTTTGTTGCATTAAACTCACATTAACGCGATACCAGACAATGAAACTGAAAATGTCATGACCCAGAGTCACAAGGTACATTTGAGATGTTCCTAAATAATAAAGATCACAAGAGAGTGCAAGAATGCAGGTTGATAGCTGGCTTCATCTATAACTAGACACTTTGGAAATAATTTTGAATGTCTTCGCCAAAATATGGATTTGACACATATATCCAGAAGCTGTACAATAAAAATGCAGACTAAATTGCTTTTGAAAATACAGGCAAAATGTGCTTACATTTTCATTGTTTGGCAGTGTGATGCAAATTGTTAACGTCAAAGCAAAACATCAAAACACAGGTTAGGTTTTTATCGTTGCGTTCCTGTGCACATTTGCTAGAGCACTTCGGGAGTATCACGCTCCGGGTGCGTACAACGCTCAAATCAAAAGCACTGGAAAGCGACTAAGGTAAGGTCTATTTTCTTTACCTGAACTTAACGTTTGCAAGGCGTTTATGTGGTGGCAGGGAAATGTAACATGCATTTATCTACGTAATTTAGACTGATGATTAGTGTAATTAGTGTAATAGCAAACCATACTGAAGTTTAAGCATTTATTCACGCTGAGTCGTGCGACAACGTCCTACGAAAAAGTCACGCGTTTTGATAGAGTAGTCCTACAACATCTTTTGTCACATGATATCTATATGTTATCTATATACTCCATGTTAAAATTTGTTGGCAGCACAGTTGACCAAGTCTGACTGCTGTTCCAAACCGCGACATTGTCGAGCGACACAAATCGCGTGCATAAATGGAATTTAAATAGAATAAATATTCAATGTAGTAAATCTTATTGGGTGATTTAGAAAAACGTTGCAATATCTCTAAGACACGAAGTAGACGAAAAGATCATTTAAACATGAGCCATTAACTGCCCCCTTATTTAATTACAGGCTATTGACTATAATTTCGACATCAAAAAGAATATATCGTATATTCTGTACATGTAGTACTATCGTGGCTAATAGATGCAAAAGCCCGGGACACTAACGAAAACAACAATTTTACTGTTCAATGTGTAATTTATTACCTTTACACTAATTTATAACACTTATACTAATGTATGCCAATTTATCGCCAAGTTGACGGGATTACGTCACTCGCATTGACGTCTGGTCGGGCATTTATGTAGTGAATTCACGGTTTCCGATGCTCTCCAGCACTTTCTACCAAAAACTCCAGATAGCACCGCAAGTGCTCACGCAATCGCTTTAGAAGCTTCGCAGGCCGCGATACATGCTGATGTAAGTCTGGTCGCCTAACGTCGATATCACAACTCTTTGATATTGACAACTGTTTGTAATATATGAGGAGAGTATCTGAACAGCGTTCATGCTTTGTCCTCATTCAGTCTCATCAGTAGCATAGAAACTCACAACACCCTGTATCTGTTTATAGGGAGTTTTTTGTTGTTTGTTGTTGTATTGTAGTTTCTACTCTGGAAATATCGTCACGTTTTTCCGAATCAGCCTGTATATGGAATTTTAATTCATTGAATTCCTAACCCTGAAGAAGCTTTATCAGAACATTTTTTGGAGTGTGGCGTGTCACAGATAGTATTTAAATATCTCACGAAGTCTGATATGATTGTTTCACTCAAAAAAATGTTAATCGAATGAATTATTTTGAATGCTTTTTCGTTTAAAGATTTTTCCACCCCACTACCAGTGAAACCGCTGTTGCTAACAATGTTAGCCATTTTTCAATCTGTTATGTGCGGCAAGGACACATCCGTTCCAGTCTGGTGGTAGGTTTATTTGAGTTTACAAAAGTGGACTGTATTTGATTTGGTAAATGAGTGACAATACAAATTTCTTGAACCTGTTGATGCGTTCTATCTCGACGACTTCCTATCTTGGTCGCGGCGCTTCGATCTTCTGGTGTCTCCGTCCCCATTGGCTGGATTCAAAAACTGCCAGGCAGCGCTTGCGGAGTGGTCGTGGCTGGTACACAGTGGCGCGCGCGCCAAATGACCATTGGGGTAACATAGGCCGCCCCCTTGAAAGCCTCCAGGCTTTCAACACGATGAGATGCTGTCGTCGTCTGGAAGTGGAAGAGCTCAAAGCTTGACTACTGGCCTTTTGTACTCTCCAGTTGAAGTTCTTAAGGTAACAGTTCGAGTGATGTGGTCTGGTCCGGGATGGAGTTCAGTTATTCTGCCGATTCTCCATTTCAATGGAGGGAGTCCGTCTTCTTTAACTAGCACCAGAGTGCCGATCTTGAGTCTTTGAATGAAGTTCTCCTTCCACTTGGTGCGATGCTGCAGATGCGAGACATATTCTTTGGACCACCTGGCCCAGAAGTGCTGCGTCATTTTCTGCAGTCGTTCGAAACGAGATAATTGGTTTCCAGGAACGGTTAACCAATCTTTGTCTGGTGTAGCCATTAATGATTCGCCGATGATGAAGTGTGCGGGTGTGAGAGGAGAAGGGTCTAAGGGGTCGTCTGATAAAGGGTAAAGAGGTCGAGAGTTCACACATGCTTCAATTTGAGTCAATACCGTATAGAACTCTTCAAAAGTTAATAGCGTTTCACCGACAGATCGTTTTAAATGATGCTTTACCGTTTTGACTGCGGCTTCCCATAGCCCCCCAAAGTGAGGTGATCTAGGTGGTATGAATGTCCATTTAATACCATCAATGGCTAATTTTTCCGAAATGGCATCAGTCCGCTGTAAAATGAATTGTTTTAGTTCTTTACTAGCACCCACGAACGTTGTTCCATTGTCTGAGATTACGTGAGAGCAAAAACCTCTGCGAGAAGTAAATCTTCTGAAAGCAGCGAGGAAACATTCAGTTGTGAGGTCACTAACGATTTCAATGTGAATTGCCTTAACTGCGAGACAAACAAATAAAGCAATGTAAGCCTTGGATAGCTTGGAGTTACGCGTCTTGCTGAGCTTAATAGTGAATGGACCGGCAAAGTCGATTCCTACAGATAGGAATGGTCGCCCAGGAGTGACTCGAGATTTCGGAAAACTTCCCATCAAGTATCTTTCTTGATTAAGGCTAAAGCGAAAACAAGAGATACATTCCCGAATAATTTTTCGCACAAGCCTTTTGCCGCCGATAAGCCAAAATTTTTCTCTGATAGATGCTAGAAGACCTTGACATCCGATGTGTTTTAAACGTTGATGTTCATGACGAGCGATAATCACGGAGAAATGATTATTTTGGGGTAGGACGTATGGATGTTTTTTATCATAAGGATAATCAGATATTTGCAGACGACCGCCAACACGAATAAGTCCATGCGAGTCAACAAAGGGAGATAAACTAAGAAGACTGCTTTTAGAGCAAACTCTTCCGTCCTGGGTTAGCTGTTGAAGATCGATAGGAAAAGAAGATCTTTGAACTATCCTTATAAGGTATGTTAGAGCATTATCGAGTTCAATAGGTGTCAAGGGGCCAGTTAGCTGATGCTCCTTTGACAGAGTCTCGAGTTTGAACCTGCTGATATAGCCAAACACCCGAAGCAACTTAGAGAACGAAGAGAACTTGATAATTACAGAAGAGAGATGATTTTCTGTTGTCGAGAATAATGAAGTGACCTTTTCCTTGCGTTCAAGGAGATCAAAGCTATCGTTTATTGGGCTATCTTTAAAATGGGGCCAATTCGACTGTTCCCGTGACAGCCAAATAGGACCATGAAACCAAAGATTGGAGGTTAGAAAATCTGACGGAGATATTCCGCGCGACAACAAATCTGCTGGGTTATCACTTGTATGGATATAGTTCCAGGAAACAGGATCAGATAAAGCTTGAATTTGAGAAACTCTGTTTGCAACAAACATTTTAAGAAGATGAGGTGATAATTTCAACCAGCATAATACAATTTTCGAGTCACACCAGTAACAGATTTGATCGAAATTCAGCTTCATGGATTCTTTGACAGTTGATACGAGTTTGACAAGGAGAAGAGCTGCGCATAGCTCGAGCCTGGGAATAGTAACCTGCTTAAGTGGAGCTACCCTAGTTTTTGCACAGAGAATCTTGGTATGACAATTTCCTTGAAAGTCTACGGATCGAATATACACAACTGCTCCGTATGCCCTTTCAGAAGCATCTGAAAATCCATGAAGTTCGATAGAAATTGGATTGTGACATATCACGTGTCTAGGAAATTGAACAGTGTTCAATTCAGAGAGCTTTGATCTATAATCAAGCCACGTTGTATAAAGCTGAGAGGGAATGCTTTCATCCCATGAAACTTTGAGTTTCCACAAGTCTTGCATTATTAGCTTGGAGGTGATAGTGACAGGCGATAGGAGACCTAATGGGTCGAAGATATGCGCTATACATGATAAGATGTGACGCTTTGTGATTTTTTGAGAGGCACTAGTCTCAGCTATACAATAAGTGAGAAGGTCCAGCGTCGCATTCCAAAATATGCCCAAAGTTTTGTTTTGCTGATCTGCACCGATTTGTATAGTCTCAGAATTTGCGAGAATATCTTTGTGGTTTGAGGACCATTTTCTCAAAGGGAAACCATGTTGGTTGAGTAAATCTGTAAGCTCTGCCTTCAAGGTCAAAGCCTGATCCACCGTCTCTGTGCCCGTGAGAAGGTCATCTACGTAGAAGTCTTCAATAATTACACGACAAGTTGAAGGATAAGCTGTCTTATGAATCCGAGCTACTTCATGTAGCGAACGAATCGCAAGAAATGCCGCCGAGGCTGTTCCGTACGTGACAGTGTTAAGTTCGAATGATTGCAAGTCTTTGTTCCGATCGAACCGCCATAAAATCTTTTGCAGATGGCGCTGATCTTCTCGAACCAGTACCTGCCGATACATTTTGGCGATGTCGGCACCAAGAACAATATTGTGCTTCCGAAAACGAAGTAGGATCGAGAAAAGATCATTTTGGATAGTAGGGCCGATCATCATAATGTCGTTGACCGAATATCCCGAGGTGGACTTGGCGGACCCGTCAAAAACTACCCTTAGTTTAGTCGTAGTACTATCATTTTTCATGACACAATGATGCGGCATGAAAAACCCAGTGTTGTCTTGATTTCGGCACAATGACATGTGCCCGAGATCGATATATTCGCGGATGAATGCGTGATATTGATACTTCAAAGTAAGATTTCGTTCGAGTTTCTGTTCAAGATTAACAAATCGTTTTTCTGCTAGAGATTTAGATTCGCCGAGGCTTGACTCGGGAAGTTTCAAGGGGATGGCAACTACAAAATGGCCGTCGATGTCTTGAACTGTTTCTTTGAAGTTTTGTTCGCACATTTCTTCGTCTTCAGAAAGAAATTTTTTGCTAGGAATCTCCTCTATTTCCCAAAACCTTGTTAGGGTTTTGTCTAAATTGTCTACGCTGAGGTTACAAACGACACGAGGTTGGCATGGTGAGGCTGGTACAGGGCCTGATATTATCCAGCCTAATTTTGTCTTTTGAAGGATTGGCTGATCGCGTCCGAGCTTGATGTGCCCAATGGATATAAGATCCCAAAATAAGTCTGCTCCTATAAGGAGATCGATATGGCTAGCTTTAAAAAAGTTAGGGTCTGCAAGAGTAATATTATGCGGTAAGCTTAGAGAGCTTTTGTCAAAACAAACATCTGGAACGTTTCCAGTGATAGAAGGTAGAATCAAACACGATAAAGTAATGTGAAAACCGCTAAATTTGGATCGGATTTTGACAAATGTTCTGTGTGAGACCTTGGTATCTGATTGACCAATTCCAGATATATCAAGGTTAATTTTGGATTTTTGCAACTGTAAGATCTCGCATAAATTTTGAGATATGAAATGATTAGTAGATCCACTGTCTAGTAAGACTCTACATTCATGTGTGTTACCAAATGCATCTGAAGCATCAACAATAGCCGTAGATAGTAAGATCTGAGACGATTTGTTTGCATAAGAGTGATTGGAAGATAAAGAAACAATGTTATTATTTCTCGCTAGATTTCTGGCTGGCCGGTTCACATCGGCAACGTCGTGTTCGAAGGCAATGCGTTCTCCGCGCTGGCTCGCGGCACCGCGCTCAGCTGTGGCTGTGGATGGCGTGGGCGCATCAGCGGCAACGTTATGACGCCCATTGTACTGACGCCGAACGGCAGGCGGCGAAGGAGACGCGTCGTGTCGTCGAGCTTCAGGTTTGCTAGGAAAGTGCAGTAAAGTATGATGAGGCTTGCTGCAATATTTACAGAACATGGACTTGCAATTATTCACGTTGTGTCCGAATCTCAGACAGTTGATACAAAGATTGAGGCGCCTTGTTTCATAAAAACGCTCTGTGGGGGCTAAGCGAATAAACTCTTGGCAAATATAGATTGAATGATCCCTTTCACAAAACGCGCATGACGTATTTTTGTTGTGTGTAGCTACAAATGCCTTGGGCTTGACGTGCTTATTGAACGATTGATTTTGTCTCGCTTTATCATGGTACATTTCGAAAGATTCCAGATTTCGACACTTGTTTTTTAGAAATTCTGAAAATTCCGTCATGGTAGGAAGTTCTTGCGTTTTGTTCCGCATTTCCCATTCGCGGCGAGTAGCGTTATCTAGCTTGGAGGAAATGAGGTAGATGAGTATCGGGTCCCAGTGCGAGACAGGTAGTTTCAAAACCTCCAAAGCTCGCAAGTGTTTCAGTAGGCTGTCTACTAAGTCCCGTAGGCTAGCATAGCCTTCTCTTGGATGGTAGGAATGTCAAAAAGTGCTTTTATATGATTGTTGACTAAAAGTTGCTTATTTTCGAAGCGTTCCTCCAGTAAGTCCCAAGCTACATTATGATTTTGATTTGAAATTTCGAGAGACTTGATTGTGTCTGCGGCGCTACCTTCTAGTGACAATCTCAGATAATGAAACTTTTGTATGGGGCTTAGGGCATCATTGTTATGGATTAAAGAGCGAAAGGTATCTCGGAAAAATAGCCACTGATCGTATGATCCATCAAAATGTGGGATATTCAAGGCCGGAAGCTTGATAGCCTGCAAATCTGGCTGTACAAATTGTGGAGGGGAATGTAAAGCCGCATTGTTTCCTAGCGATGGGCGATGATCGTTCAAAAATTGCTTGGTTTTTGATATAATTTCGTAAAAGGCATTTTCAAATTCAGCACGCGCTAGTGAATGAACTGATTCAAAATTTTCCTCAAAATTTCCATCTGAATCTTCGATTTTTTCTTGAATTTTGTTAAAATTGTCTAACAGCAATTCGACAGAAGCTAGTCTACATTCCAGTTCTGTGATATCTGGATTAGATTTTTGACTGATGGTATGGAAATAATTATGAAATCGAGTAAGAGTACCCTTTATGGATGCAAGTTTTTTAGCATTACCATTAGGCATTATGCGTGAGTGAGCGAGAACGAGAATGAGAGTAAATTCAGGTGGGTAACCAAGCCGTAACGACACAATCTAACGTTAACGACAAATGCGAAAATTTGAGTGCTCCAGAAATAACGAAACAATGTGAAATACGAGAATTTTTAAGCGACAATGTGTGAGCTCAAGGAAAAACGACAGGAATTTGAGATATGGAACGCACCAACCTTTTGTGTGAGTGTGACGATCTTCGATGGCGATTCCCAATGATGGCGGCTTGTTGTAGGTCCCGTGGTCGCTGTGCTTCAGGCCGGCCAGGGCGATTTTCAGGAGTTTCTGACTTCGATCCGGCTCGTAGGATCAAATGTTATGTGCGGCAAGGACACATCCGTTCCAGTCTGGTGGTAGGTTTATTTGAGTTTACAAAAGTGGACTGTATTTGATTTGGTAAATGAGTGACAATACAAATTTCTTGAACCTGTTGATGCGTTCTATCTCGACGACTTCCTATCTTGGTCCCCATTGGCTGGATTCAAAAACTGCCAGGCAGCGCTTGCGGAGTGGTCGTGGCTGGTACACAGTGGCGCGCGCGCCAAATGACCATTGGCGTAACACAATCCTTGTGTAATTTTGCGTCAAAAGCCTTTTTCTATTTCGTGAACTAGAGTATTGGTCACGACAGTATTGTGGTTAAAACTCATTAAAGTAAATGCATCCGGAGAAATGAGAGAAAACAATGCCATGTAGATGGATTTTGCATTAAATTTTCACATTTTTGTCTCCTCTCTGCATTGTGGATGTATAATTCGCATTTAATTTGAGTGTTAGGAGGTATATATTGTATTTTTAATTTGTAAATTCGATGTATCAGTATGTACAATTTTATATGCAAATCTGTATCTGTTCAAATAAAAATATATTTTACACACAAACTCACCTCCCATGTTTTAAAAAGTGAATGCATAAAAATGATTCCTTGAGGCCTCGTTACTGTGATGATGACTCACCTGCCTTCCAACTTGGGAATAACAGGAAAGTTGTCAATACCCTCACGTTTTTTAGGTTTTTTACATAATACTCGGGCCGTGGTTATGAATTATTGATTCGACGCTTGATGCGGGGTATTTTTTATAGGCCAAAGAACAAAAAATGGTTAGGCCCCGGCAATCCATGAGGAAGGCGGTGAAAAGAGGAACCATTGAGGTTATTGATTAGCTAGACCGCTTCCTTCCTCGAGGAAGATATCTGACGGCTTTCCTGTCACTCGGATGTGTCAAGATTGTCATCCGAAACTGAAAGTACCTTTATGCATTCGGCTCTCGGGTTTTTTTTTCTCCATCCCGCTCTTGAGATCTGTGGTGTGGTGTCTTTTGTAGTTAAAGAAAGGGTGGTGCTTAATCTTTATTGACTTCAGATAATACATATTACTGTAACATTTACTTTATATTAAATTTACTTTAAATGATTTTACATTAATCTATTACTTATGTAGGTAAACTTGTAACATCATTTAATATAGTATGTGAATGACAAGATATACAAATATGGAATTGGCTCAGAAATATTGGACTAGGATGCTGGACTTGCCTAACTTTCTAAACGAATCGTGAATCCTCGAAAAATTTCGTTTGGCACTGTTTCCGAAGATTCAGGATTATTCTTTTCTTATCTAGAGGTAATGAATAAGTGCCAAATCCCAAACTTATACTAACGTGTAGCGACGATCCCTCTTCGTTATTTCTGAATCCAGTTTTTTCCGATTTGGAATAAAAAAATGTACATGTTGATCCCTATGCTCCGTTCTTAACCGAGTGGCTGCAAAGATGCAGCTGCCTATTTGAACCTTGTTAACAGTAACAGAAGTGATCGTATTCGCATGAGCGAATATATAAATATTAAAATTGTGTGACAAGACAGAGGCTGCCATAATAAAATATCCGCGAAAAAGGATGTAATTTCCATGCAAATTTATAAAAAAAAAATGTTGAGGCTGTTAGGGGATTCGTAGTTTCTTATGATATAGTCCCACACTGGTATTGAGATAAGTACGGAAGGGCATTTTGTATCAAATCTGTGATTTGTTTGTCTCCAAAACCTTATAGCCTGTGATCAGGATGAAAGTTCTTACTACAAGTCTATCAGCCTTAACCCGCCAGTTTGACAATTGTTGACATTTAACATGAAATTCGTACTTTTCTGTGAAAACATAAAAGTGCGTGGGTTCCATACAGTCCTAGTATTCCAGACAACGCTGTCATCACTTCATAAAGGATTAGGCTCGGCACCCCCAATTTTTTCTGAAAATGATCGGGAGCCTCTGAAACGTCAAAAAACGGACTTTGAGCGATTTTTATTTTATTCTTTTTTTGCCCTTAGCTCCGTCTGTACTGGACCGATTTTCAAAAACTACAAAGCTATTTCGTCCTTCGCATAGTTGTAACCTCGTATCACAATTCCATAAAAATCCGAGCAGTACTTTCCAAATTATAGGCGGATTCAGGATTAGCCGACAAGACAGATAGAAAAGAGTGTCATGGTTTTTCGTAACGTACGTCATGTAACACCTGAAAAATATATATCCTTTTCGAAATATTTCCTGATTACAATACTTCCTTGAAGTGACATAGAAAGAATATAAATATTGCAAAGTGGTTAGGAGTGAGACATGGGGATCAACCTTTGTATAGCGGGGTTATCAATGATGCTTATTTCGTTACTAACATTGGTAAGATAGAAAAGCATATTGACTCGCTGACTATATTCTAAAAAATTATACACTATCCACTAAAATCAAACAAAATAACATCATATGAGTGCTCTACAAATATTTAAATTATAGCCAAAACCATAAATTCTCGTCATATGTCAAACATTGAAAATTATGTCACCTTCATTTTCAAGTACAACAGTTAATTTTTTATCTTCATTTAACAAGGATTAATTTTTAATTTCCAAATAGCTACAATGATTGTTAACATTAAGATTAAAAATTACATTACCATTTGTTGACGTCACATTTAATGTTCAAACATTTTAAAGTTACAGTTACCATACAAATTTTTTAAAAATTTTAAATTGTTAAAAGCCACCGTTTCTAAATATTATACATATATATTTCTTAATAAAATCTAATTTGGCATCCATCTAATAACTGGTACTTGGCTGCAAGATATTTATACACTTCAAAAACATCGTTTAGAATAACCGTATCTATTTGAAACTTGATGTAATTAATTGATTTGAATTTTGGATGTTTTCCTTTTACAATCCAAAGAATTATGAAGATTTGTGGAAATGTATCTCGTTTTTGCTTTGATCTGGTCCAACGATGTCAGTTACAACTCGATAGTAACCATGCATTCACTCTTAATATTCTTTAAATTAAGTATCAGCTTTTATTAACACTGTTGGCGGTGAATTTTTCCTATTTTCATCCAGAGTTTTGCCCTGTTGGATACGTGTCGTATATATCATTTCAGATATGGATTTTGTTATGTGCATCTTTTTATTTTGTATTTAATACATTATAAATCAATATAAATATCTTGCACTAACATCTTAACAAATATATCTAACTTTGATTCTCACTACACCAAACAGGAATGATAACTATATTCTAATAAGCTTAGGAAAAAATAAACTTACGAGCATTTCATGTATATTTCAAATAAATACTTAAAAGTATCCACATCAGAATAATAATCTTAATTCGTTGTGGTCTACCACATATATGACAATTATTTTTATTCAATTTTCTTTTACTAGTACATATATACTTATTGGTCCGTGCAAAATTGCATAATTGATAGTGTGTTACCATTGATATAAAAAAATAAACTGTAAAACATAACATTTATTAAAAGGAATGGGGGAACGTTTGACGATAGTTTTATATCGGGTGTAATAAGGTATATTACGAAATCTACGGCTGTGAAAGATATGAAAGCATTACGATATTTTAGCAATAGTATTGATTAACATATTCTACCTGAAGATAGCCAACCTAATGTCATATTTCCACGTCCAAAAAATTGTGCGAGATAAAATCAAAAAGCGTAGCGTCACCAATGAGAATTTGTAACAGCTCTATTTACTGTATGTACTTTGAAACGGTTATTATCTCATAGATGGTGTTGTCGCCAATTACATGAGCATATAGGGGCAGTGCTATCTATGAGGCATCCACCTTTTCAAAGTATAGATATAAACAGCAGTTATAAATTCTCATAGATGACGCTACGGGATATCTCGGATATTTTTTATTGACGCAGGAATACATCATTAAGTTGCCTATCTTCAGGTTTAATACGTTAATCAATGGTTTAAAATGAACACGGTGTATTTGTTATCAATCCTCGCATCTTGAAACTGAAATTTAACATCTTTTATTTATATTCTAGGAAAGTTATAGACTTAACGTATTTTCTTATACTGTCGCTACATTTTTTATTCATCAAAAATACGTTTTTTGAGACAAATTTTGTCATATCACTTATTTCAGTGAACCTCTTTAGATAGGCGTGTGTGTTCTAACATTTTCAAATAGTTTGCCATCCTGGATTTGATTTAACCGTTGAGTGTTTGCAATAGGCTGGTCGTCCAGTGGATGCATAAGATTCTATGAACATTGCATCATACAAATTTTTATATTGTCGTCCGAAGTCTCCCGAACTAATCCAAGAAGTATCTGATTCGATTTTTGCATGCTCTTATTACTAAATGACCCTTGACGAATCTGTATGTTGCCAAGTCCAAAATTGCGTCAATTTTTGGGAACGATTTGCAAACATTGTTATTCCCAGCGTTTTTTGTCATTCTGAACAGAAAAGGTGGACTTTTTTCTAAAGTTGACGGTTTTCGAAATACATTTAATATGTATTTGATGGTTGTCAAAGTTCCTACATATTCTTGAAGCATCCGTTAACAAAGTCCTAAAACATTTCAAGGAGTATTGTTATTGTAAACCTTTTTTATTTAATTGTTTTAAGATAGATCTTCAAAAACTGCAAGGAGATCATAATAAAGCGAATTTGGAATTGCAAATATTTTTGCGTCAGATATTTCGGAAGAAAACAGATCCTCTGGATGGCCAGTCTTAAACTGAATTGGTTCTAATTTCATATCCCTTGTTACAGTATGCCAGTAATTTAGGAAATTGGCACCGACAAACAGTAAGGGCATTCAGAAAACGACAGCGCTGTATCGCGGCATCAGCTTATCCGAATCAGTAGTGCTTCAGTTCCCTGAATACACCCAATAAATTCTCTATTTTGGTCAGATATAACCAATATAATATGCTCAAGCATTGTTATCGGCTATGCCATGTGACTGAATTTTACACATAATTATAATCTAATAATTCATGAAGTTTTTTTTAACTATGATTGATACCTCTAGCCTCTGATAAATAACGTTTATAAAATTCTCTTCACAGATCAGTTTGGGATCGGAATAATATTCTTATTTTATTTTTTCCAGCAAAAACAAGAATTTTTATTTATATTATTTTCCCATACTTTTTCGCGACATCTGAGTATATCGTACCTAGAGCAAAGTGAACCCAGAACTTGCCTCCCGCACATGGGCTGTCACATGTATGTGTATGAGCTGAGTTCAGTTTGTGCTGGGTCTAACTATATTTTGAGTCTAAAGAGAAGTCTAAGAAAAAAAAATGAAGCTGTATGCATATCTTACGAATGTATGGCAAAATTTCATTTGCCTCAAAATATCGAAAATCTAAATTTTATACCTGTATACAAATCAAAAGTTATCAATATCTCCCGGATTTAACTGTATACAAGATTGATTAATTCAACTGTCCGGTTTATCTCCTGAACCGCAAACTTGCACTTTGAGTGTTTTTAATTTGGTTCCAGACCTTAATATTACCAATATCAAAAACAAATAATAATTAAGATGTGCGCTTATATTTAGAAGTAATACAAAATGCATCCATTTCAACCAAGTTTCAATTTTTGAGCATATATTTCTACCAGATTAAATTAGATTTAGGTTGACTGCACTCATGTAATCTTCTCGTAGCAGTGGGACCAAGGTAGGAGGATGCCTGAAACAAGAAATTCATTGTAATTATAATACCTGAAATTGAGCTTTTTTTGCTAATTGGCAGGATAGTTGTCTAATAGTTTCGCAGAAACATGTGTTAATATAAGACAAATGCGTACCCATGGGGTGGCAAGGAGGGCGGCTGCCCCACTTTTCCCTAGCTTAGCAAAAATTAAATTATTTATTCGGGATTCGCGACAAGCTGAATCAATATCTGTTTGACGAGAAATTATTAGGATTAGTTGGAATCGATGTTAGATATTTAACCTAAATTTTGCTATAAGTGCCAGATGTGCTATGTGTTTTCAAATTTATACCCTTTTCGATGTCATCATTACGAGGGATGTCTTTTAAGTTCTGCATATAGAAACATAGTAGGCCGCGCGGATCGAACGTTAGTACTGAATCTTAACCTCACTCTTTAGTAAACTTAAATTCAAAGTTTCACAACAATACGTGCAGTGTTCTCACTACAGTGAATTTTTAAGTGTCTCAAGTCATTAGATAAATGGAACTCAACCGAGAACATTTTCGCGCCATAATTTATTACAACTTTCAGAGACAATTATCGCAACAAGAATGCCTTGCTGAGTTACTGTCTGTTTTCGGCAACGAAGCGCCACATCAGTCGACAATTTCCCGTTGTATGGAGAATTCAAACTTAGACGGGTGATTCTAAGGCCCGTGTCGTCAGTCGTCCCTACAATTGTAGGTCGCGTTTATGGCCTCCTTGATTGTCATACTGCTTTCTCTCCTTCAAAAATTTCTAGATTACACTTGTCCCGTGTCAGCGTCAGCGCCCTCCTGTTGTGAAGATATGTTTTCTTTTCAAATTGTAGGAAATTTCATGCTGATAAAACATGATATAACTCAAAAGCAAGCACAATTTGATTCAAATAGATATTTGTGACATAACCTCAAAATAGAGCGCTGACACGGAGAAGTAGAAAACTATGACAACCAAGGAGGCCATAAAAGCGCCCTACAATTGTGTGTCATAGTTTTCTACTTCTCCGTGTCAGCGCTCTATTTTGAGGTTATGTCACAAATATCTATTTGAATCAAATTGTGCTTGCTTTTGAGTTATATCATGTTTTATCAGCCTGAAATTTCCTAAAATTTAAAAGGAAAACATATCTTAACAACCCCGAAAGAAGAATCATCCTCCACCAAGATAAAGCAAGCTCGCACACAGCCCAAAAAACAAGGCAGTATTTAACGGAAGAAAACGTGGAATTATTGGACCATCCTCCATATAGTCCCGATCTAAGTCCTAACGATTTCTTTACTTTCCCGAAAATTAAAAACAGACTGCGTGGTCAAAGGTTCCAGTCACCAGAAAAAGCATTTGACGCATTCAAAAATGCCGTTTTGGATCTGCCAGCAAACGAGTAGAATAAGTGCTTCAAAAATTGGTTCGAGCGCATGCAGATGTGTATTAATCTTCGTGGAGAATACTTCGAAAAACAATAAAGTTATTTAAAACTACCTACCGTGTTGTTTTATTTCCATATGCAAAACTTAAAAGACATCCCTTGTACCCTTAAATAATATAAATGAGTTACATCATGTTCCTCATTGGATGAGTTTAAACCAACTATATGAAGATAACCAATTGAAGTTTTATATCAATGCGTAACTTATCATCTTTGATATTCTATGAAATAAACGACTATATGATAATTTCATGGCTTACTCAGGAAATTTTTGATATAAATGTAAGTCATGCTATGATATTTGAAATCAGAATTGAAAGCTATTCTCCTTTGCAAAAATGGCATACATAACAAAAATCAAAGTTGAAACGTGAGATAAGACACGAAAAATCATATCAATCTTTTTTTCTGTTTATGCCACGTTGCTGAGGCAATGTCAATGTCAATGTGTGAAATCCTATCTCAAACAAATTCAGAAAACATCAGAAACGATTTTGGGTAAATTCGTTCCCTTTTCCGTGTATCTTTGGAGATAGTGGAAGCGTCAAAACTTTTCAAATGCATTTACTAAAATATATGAATACGCGACTTTGCCACCATTCAACCGACTCATATCTCTTACCGTTTCTGAGATCGCAATGGTGAAAACATGACAAATTTATTTTTCAAATCATTCTGGTTCGTTTTTTTGGAGGGGTTTTGGCGTCCTTGGGACGATGGATGAGGGTGAAGTATCGGGTATATTTAAAAGGATGACATATAACCTCATGCTCGCTTATCATTTTGGAGGGCTGGACGACCTTTTTTGAGAGCGGAAGTGCCTACCCCAGGCGGTGTTGTAGTAACACATAGTATAGGAATATGAAAGTTAAAAGAATAAACAAACGAAATAGTCAAGCAGAGTCGCACAGTAACCTCTGTTGCGTGACTCAGCGGACTACACAGTGGAGCAAGTTCGTTAACATTCAAGGCCACAGCTCGCACTGTAGTCAAAAGCTAGCGTGAACTTTTAGTAAATCCAAAATTACACTCTAACAAAATCTGAATCAAAATTTGTTTTTAGTTCACCTCAAAATTATTCCGTGTACCAAGCGTCTTAAATTTATGTTTTTCTTTGCTGTTCTCCTTTTTCATTCTATTTTCCTTTCTCTTTTTCCTTGAAATTATATTATTAAAGTCATTGTACTAAAGATGGTCACCCTTGTGATCGAAACGTTTACAATAAAGAAGATTTTTTCAATACATGTGGCCTCGTTTGGCCAGATAAATATGGGAAATTACCTTGAACATATTCAAATTCCAGACCTTTCTGTAAATGGTGATCAAACACAAGTGCTGCTGTGAAAAATTGTATGACCTATTTCTCAAATGATCCTTGCGCTTTCGTACTTGCTAACCTATTTATCCTCACCCCCATACATCTGCGCAGACATACCGCAGTACCCCACAGAGTAATAAAATAAATAAATATCGTGAAGCGACATCACTGCTGAATAATACCCTTTTTAGCCTATACGAGTATATCCTATTCATAATGTATGTATTCTCGTCCTCTCCGAATTGTCGTTGTCAGACTTGCATTTCTATGCATACAAAATGTACAAGCAGTTGATAAATAGCGTTTGTGATGAATTGTACATGGAGGAATACTCCTATATAGGTTTTGTCCGTATTTTCGGTGAAATGGTCAATAGGTCGTTTCTTACTTCCTGTCGTCATCATAAATATAAAGGTAGTTTATGGTAGGGTACGGAAAAGACAACGGGAATATTTTTGAAGGAAATTACAGTTAGTCGGAAGTCGTATTTCGCGTAATATTATTTATGAAGTGTTTTGAGGGCAGAATTTGGAATACTGATTTAAAACATCGTCGCTGAGTCTTCAAAATCCGCTATGTGCAGATTTTGTAGAAAGTCAGATATGAACGGTTGACATAAATGATAACTATCGTAATCTAACGGTGTTACCAAAAAAATGGAGTCAAGTAGGTTGACTCCGCGCTCCCTATGCAACGCCGTCATCAGTTCAAGGATTAAGTTCAGCGCAATTTAAATGATCTGAGGAGAAAGTCAGTTACGGACTTGTACAAAAGAGAAATTAAATGGATTAAGTACGTCAAATAGACCAACTTAATCCATAGAGTGCATTTTGTCCTGCTCTATCGGTAGTTATTGTCCATCTGGCAACGTTGAGAATATCGCAGCAGCAAAAAATGCATGGCAAAGGTGAATATTTTTCTATTTATTGTAAATACTTTCACCAATACGAATTTCTTTTAAAACTTTTTCATAAATAAATAGTCATCAATACTTCGTCGCTTCTTTTTGGACAAACATACATATTACTTTTTACTGTTGCGGCCGCTAGCAGGATACGTGGCAACACCTGCTGCTGCTGAGCACTAAAACTTTCTCGGCCGAAATGGCGGCCTTTTTTGACAGTGACAGGAGAGTTTCATAGCTAATTGTTATCTAAGCTGTACTAATATTATGACATATATGATACCATACTCACTCATCGAATGCTGGCGGTTGATGCGGACTCCTGAATCCCGTGGCAGCCCCGTTGACAGCCGTAGCGGCAGCGGCCACCGATGCCGCGGTCGCAGCAGCCAACGGGAAGTTCTTGGCCTGCGCTGCTCTGGCTCGGGCCAAGAGGCCCATGACGGTGCGTTTGGTGGGTGTCATCGAGGAGGCACCGCCTCTGCCGCCTCCGCCCGATAGCAGCGGCCTCTTGCGATGGTTGCCGAGAATCATGCCGGCTGCTGCTGCAGCTGCCGCGGCCGGAGGCAGCAGGGTGTCGCCTGGGCAGGAGGAGAGAATGCTGGTGGGAGTTGTACCTGTGGTGCCGCCGGTGGGATCTGCGATCACGTCCACTGGAACAGAAGAAGGACAAAATCAGTTCTCTACAGAGGGTCTGAAAAGTTCCGCAACCCCACGATAATTTCTGAACCAACAACGGTATAAAAAAAATTAAACCCCACGATTGATATAAGTTTCCCCAGCTATCCCACGGTGACCTTGGATACGACCTTGACTATGACGTTCAAAGTTATTTGAAGGTCAAGTCGAGTTTATAAGTGGAAACTCCGTAAATGAAAAGAGCGGAAAATTGTACGTTCAAATATGGTCTTGATCATTTTTAAATTTCGGTCATGGCCAAGCTCGAAACTAAGTGCGGTGATCTAACTTGAAAACCATTAGCCGGATAGGGAAACTAAAGAGACATTATTTTACCCTTAAGGTCATGTGAAGGTCAAATCAATTTTACATAGCCAGGGTGCAATCCTGAAGGAACAGTGAAGTCTGTTAATCTGGGAATTACACAATTTTCTGAATTATCAAGGAACTAAGGTGAACTTCTGTTTGATCTTGATGGACACGTACAAAGTCAAGTTCCAAAAATGGTCAGTTACATATTCGAACACAAAATTTTAATTTTTCTCTATTTCTGCGGGCAAATTTGAGGTCCCATTAAAAAAAAAGAGTTGACCTTCAAACGACCTTTAACGTAATGGCCAAGGAAAGATCCAAGGCCGCCATTGGATCCCAACTAGCAAAGTAGTACTATAAGCTTTTGGTAAAAGATCCGTTTAGCCATAAAAGCTCTCTATTGTTCTTGCCTGAACTCCAAAATGCTGTGTGGAATGCAAATTTGCTTTCTGCAACATATTTGCTCTAAAATGAGGTGTTTAAAATTTCTTATAGCATAGTTATACAACATTTTATAGGACAAATTTGTAACTGTTGCATAAACGTTTATACAACTATTTTATACGGCATATTTGGACGTTAGTCAAAATGGTTGTGTTGTGGCATCCATGGTAACGTTTATAAAACAAACCCGAGCCTTGTTGTTTTGTTGCGCAAATTTACTACTTTAGCCAACAAATTGCTCCCAACCGAAGCACTTATACAACTGTTGTTTAGTAACTCTTAGGCCCGTATCGTCAGTCGTCCCTATAATTGTAGGTCGCCTTTATGGCCTCCTTGATTGTCATACTCTTTTCTCTCCTTCAAAAATTTCTAGCTTACACTCGTCCCGTGTCAGCGTCAGCGCTCTCCTATTGTTAAGATATGTTGTCCTTTTAAATTGTAGGAAATTTCAGGCTGATAAAACATGATATAACTCAAAAGCAAGCACAATTTGATGCAAATAGATGTTTGTGACATAACCTCAAAATAGAGCTCTGACACGGAGAAGTAGAAAACTATGAGAATCAAGGAGGCCATAAACGCGCCCTACAATTGTAGGGACGACTGACGATACGGGCCTTAAAGGCTGTACATATGCTAAATATATTGGTATACAACTTCACCATAACCTAACTTTCTGCTGTCATATTTTTGTTAAAATGCCATAACCAAAGTTTTAAGACAAACAACGCATGCATATTGGTTCAGAAGGTTTTATCATCTGTTCAAGCAGAAGATATAGATCTGGTACAAATTCTGGGTAATTCATTCGACTCTGTCGGTATTTCATTTCAGACATATGTCAAATTGTTGTATAACACCTGCAGACAACACCAAAATATTCTAATAAACTAAAGACAACATGGACGATGCCATAACTGTTACCTGCAGCCCTTATACAACCTCTTAAATGACTATTAGGTGCGCCCATTTCACTTCTATAGCTGTTCTAAGAGGGTTTTGCCAATGTTCTTACAGTATGCAATGCTGTGTAAGGAATACTGAATAATCATTCTTGCAACTTTAATAGGAGTGATAATTGTTAGTTGGGATGTATGGGGGAAATCGTGGGAATAATGTTTCGGTAGCTTGCTTATACGACCACTAGCTTTTAAGTTATATCACCGTAATTACTAAAACTTATTACAAGAAATTAGAAAGCACTCCCTGCCTATGTGTAACCTTCATAAAAACTTGGTTCCTGTCAGAATCGGGTGAATAGTTTCCTAATTCGATGACAATTTATTGCTGACCATGAGGAAGTTTCCTTTTTTCTGGAACGCATTCAAAATGATAGTTGATAGAAAAATGGAGTACAGCACTGAGGAACATTTTTGAATATCCAAAATGACGACGTTATGCGTCCCAAAAGTTTCTTATTCGGACAATTATCATGAGCGGTGACGTCACATTTGTGAAAGATTTGCAAGTTGCAAGTAAAACTAGCAGTATTTTTGACTATAGGAAACTTAGTAATTGTTTACCTAAAGTTCGCCAACACGTAGTTACAATCTTGGTGGAGGCGTATGCTTTAAGATGTAAGCTCATTCACCATTTCTCGATGCGATTTGTGTCTGATCGAACTAGTTTTCTAGCCGAAACCGAAATTAAAATGTTCGTCAAGAAAACTGTATAATATACAATAATCAGTCTTTGACAAACATCTAAAGGAAACCGCCTATAACAGTTAGCTATAGGTTATAACTTGAAGCTTCAGTTTACAAGGGTCTCCCGCTTATTTGAGGTTGTTGACATTTTTATATACAGAAGCTTTCACGCGAGAGTTTTTAGCGGTTTTTGTCTAGCGATTTGAATATACAGGTATCTTGAAAAACAAGCTCAATTCGCTATGGAATCAGGATTCATCAAGCAAACAGCAGTAATTTACTCAAAATCAACGCCCTTATGGTGCCAAAATTTTTCGCATCCAACAGTGAATTTTGTTCATTGGAATTCTGTAATGTTAAAACTTTAACGTAAGTATATTCAAGCGTAAAATATATGTTTTATGCTCAAATGGTATGATTTCAGTTTTATAGATAATAAAGTTTTGCTGTGGTTTGCACGTTGTGTACAGGTTTTGAGGTTACATTTGCGAAGTATATGGAGATGATGCCATAAATTACGTGCAGCTTAAGCGTGTTACCCCAATACATTTTACTTACAGAGTTATCTGTTTGGACGTTTTAACATGAATGAAAATGTGAAACGTGCAAATTATGGAAGATATGTGATGTAAAAATACAACAAAATCTGAAAAAACACCACTACTCTGTATTTACATTGAACATTCACTGAGATCAACTCTGGCAGTTTCACAAACATATTACACCTTAAACCAATTTATAAATCTATTGTAAATAGTGAATACTTAATTTCCAAGATTTCATCATATTTTATAAACAGCAAAATCATGTGAAGAGGGATGCCCTTTGATTTGCATTTTTCATTTATTGCATTTTAAGTGTAAAGAAAACAAACAAAACTAACTACTGCTTGTATACAACGACAAGTTTTTTAGTGAGCTTCGTTTTACTTGGCACGGCGTGACGACATAGAAGACGCCATGACAGTTTGGAGCGTTTTTGTTTGATTTTTGAATAGACAAAATACATAATGTAAAAGTTAGATTTTGTGGGAAAAAGTTTTATTGTCTTATATAGACATTAAGGTATATAGGAACTACCCGACAAGACTCAGAAGTATGTAGGTCTATCTATAAACATGTGATAAAAGTACACGTACCTACAAAAAACACATCTTTGTTATCCATGTCATTAGTCAAACATCCTGAACATTTTTGAGTTGTATCTTCACTTCGACAGGATAATCCTGAACACTTAAAAAAATGTTTGGGCTATAGTGTAAATGTGACAGAACTTCAACGTTGGTGAACTGGCCAGTAGGGTGACGATAAGAACGGCAAATTAATATCAAAGACATATTAAATATAGCGTACCGAGATCACAATACGGTGTGATAGGGTACGGATTATCCAACTTGTATTTCGGGAACTACTCGTGGAGCAAGTTTGGGCCCGTGGACTATAAGTATTCAGATCTACACCATACTGAATAAAGAAAATACCGAAAGGATTCCCATAAGGATTTTACGGGATCTTTTGTCTTTCCACAGAATGTGTTCTTGTGCTGCTTTCTATAGTCACTGGTGTCAATACCGGCATATACCTCTATAAGAACTTTATACCCCGCGCAACCAGCTCCATTGGACTTTATTTTCTTCATGGAGTAAGCTGCAAAGTAGCATTAGAGAACAGGTCGGTATTCATTGTAGAGCACCCGAGGAAATCCTCCATTCTCTGCTGAGTCTCTCTAATATTTTGAGGCAGTTAAGCTAGTCGTAATTTGTCGGGAAATTGCGTTGGTGAACTGGCCAGTAGGGTGACGATAAGAATGGCAAATTAATATCAAAGACATATTAAATATAGCGTACCGAGATCACAATACGGTGTGATAGGGTACGGATTATCCAACTTGTATTTCGGGAACTACTCGTGGAGCAAGTTTGGGCCCGTGGACTATAAGTATTCAGATCTACACCATACTGAATAAAGAAAATACCGAAAGGATTCCCATAAGGATTTTACGGGATCTTTTGTCTTTCCACAGAATGTGTTCTTGTGCTGCTTTCTATAGTCACTGGTGTCAATACCGGCATATACCTCTATAAGAACTTTATACCCCGCGCAACCAGCTCCATTGGACTTTATTTTCTTCATGGAGTAAGCTGCAAAGTAGCATTAGAGAACAGGTCGGTATTCATTGTAGAGCACCCGAGGAAATCCTCCATTCTCTGCTGAGTCTCTCTAATATTTTGAGGCAGTTAAGCTAGTCGTAATTTGTCGGGAAATTGCCTTTGCTGTTGGACGCTTAGAAAATGGAAAATGCCTACAGTGGCGGGTAGACATATTGCTTGATTTATCACATAATGCCTTGTTCCGTTATGACTCGTGATGTGCATAACAGAATGAAGCTACTGATGATTATTACTTTACATCAGGGAAGAGTGTATTCGAGGCACTGCTCAATCTCGACGAGAAACTGGGGTCAAGTAAAATACAGCGTAAAATGTTCCGTTGTTTCTTCCATGTTTTCATTTTAAAAGCTAATAATACATATTTAAAAGACCCTATAGACACTCATGCGAATTGTATGGTTTGCCTGTTATGCAAATCGTACAATTTTTGTTAAACGACTTAAACCGTACCAACTGGTCAAAGACATGGATTTTAATGAGATCCGCAGGCTTATTACGTAGAAAACTTATATAATAAAAAAAAATGTCAACATGTTAAGTAGGCTAGTGTGCAAATAGTTTATTCCGCGCTTGCTACAAGTAAGCATGAAGTGAACGACTGCTAGTTCCAAGTTGACGTCTTGTAGGAAAACCTACATAACCTGTTAAAAATGTCAAAAAACCGAAATAATGTCAAAAACGACTTAATGTCACTTTTCAAGACACGTAATCTGGCATATCGACTTATTCAATGAGTGAAGCTTTGAACCTAAAGATTGGTTCAATTACTTGTGGATGAGTGAAGAAGCGTACAGCGAACTGCTGATAATGATCAATCCGCATATAGAGAAACTGGATACAAGAAAGAGAAAAGCAATCACACCTCATGAATGTAAAACCGCTGCAATGCGATTAGTATCAACAGGCAAAAGTTATGGAAACTTGAGATATATCAGCCCAAAGTTTGGTATATATTATACCAGAGACTTGAAAAATGAATACCTAAAGGTATGTGGTGAATTTCATTAATGGTAGAAGCATATGGGCTGAACTATACTTTAGCACATATCGCAAGTATTTCATTTCATATTTTAAAATGAAAGATTAGCATGTAACTCCAAAGTTGCATTTTGGGTGGTAATGCTGTGGTATAGAATGCTGCTTTATGAGCTATTTTGTTCATGTTCACACAAAAGATTGCTCAACATTATATGAATATAACATAAACTGTATATTAATGTGACACTGCAATGCAACTCGGCATTATTTTAATGATGAAAATAGAACATTTTTAAGTAGTCATTTGTTTTATTTCAGATAAATATTCCCACCACTATCATGATTTCTGTATCTAGTTGCGGTGTTGCCAAATCATGGATAGTAATATAACCTGATTTGGTTTGTTAAATTCTTACTTATATACTAGCGAAAAAATATGCAATCGTGTGGCCAGCAGGTTTTACTATAATAAATCTACTCCCGTGTCCTACAATAACGTTAGCTAAATACACTTTTTTTGTAAAATACCGTATACATGCTGGAATATTTTTTTAAATAGAATGCGTGATATTTCATTTGAAGCTCCTCATGCGTATAAGTAACTCTAAATACAGGGAAAAGCAGATTGCCTCATATTTTATTGCTCCTTTATGTAGATCCTTCTAAAACAAAAAGATTGATATACGTTCTGATGGTTACAAAAACGCTCAACTTTGACAGCCTGTCAGCGCGTGATTTTGGAAGATACCGAGCTTATATTCTAGGGTTAGTAATAACTCGTAAGAAGCTCCAAAATAATTTATCAAGGTCCCCTTTTTATTTTATTGTCTCGAATTTCAACTCCTTAAATTGACCCATCTGAGAAGCACTGTACAGGGTGGCCCATCCATGCGTGGAATATTACTCATAAACAAATACATTTTGGGAAAATCTATTTATGGCATGTTATACATGACATTCGAGGGCACATTTCTGAATTATTGGCAATTATTCAGGGTGTTCCAATTTTGAACAACATATCAAAGTCGTGATTTTTTAAATAGAATGCCTCAAATCTTTGGCATATTTGGATAAGCCAATTCAAAAGAAGAAGATCGATATAACATACTATGGGGTTTTGGTAATTAGCTACTGAGATGTAAGGTGTTTTGTCCAAAAAAACCGTCCACTTCGGCAACCACTCAAACCGCCATTTTGAAATCTGGAGTGCTGAATTTTGTATAAAAAAAACTCACACACCTCAGCTTTCATCTCATTTGTTACTTTTTCGAAATTTCATTTTTGCTCATTCAGGGTGGTCAAAAACGCGAATTATTCTTTTTCTCAAAAATTTCAAATGTATCACCCTGTATATTTATGCAAGTTTGGATTCCGTTTTTCATAAGCTTTTTTTGGTATAAGGTTTGATTCAGATAAAATCACTAGATTTGAGTTATTAAGATTTAATAGAACAACACACCAAAATTAAGGAAAAAATAATATCATCCATGGAAACAAAAAACAAACAGTGGGCTGGTTCCATATTGCCACTGAGTACAGATTTGACGTAAAAACTAATAACAATCAGAACAGATAAATCAGCTTCAAGCGTAATAGAGAAAAACAACTATAACAACAACGTAAACAAACAACCATCACTACTCAAGACCTAATCTACAAGAGCTGCTCGAAAATATCTCCACGATGTTGAATGCGCAGCCGTAAATTTGAGCCATCCCATTTAAAAAATCAAAACTTTGATATGTAGGTCAAAACTGGGACACCATGTGTAATGACTAATATTTTAGAAATGTGTCCTCAAATGTCATGTATAACATCCCATAAATAGATTTTCCCAAAACGTATTTGTTGATGAGTAATATTCCGTCCACACATGGATGGACCAGCCTGTATATCCAATATACCTTCTGGAACGGCCGCTGATGTAATACAGTTTTTGTGATGCGAGACCGAAAACTCACAGGAAAAAATACTGGGTAATAGGAGTGGTCTCAAGTAGAGCCTAATTAGAGCAAAACGACGGCGAAAAAACTTCAGCGGTTCGCGTTTTTGATCTCTTGTTCTTTCCTTTCTGAATGTTAAGCATTTCGCTCTTTGCTGAACCGCTCCTACGAAAACGTTTCAATTGTGTCGATGGAGAAATGATGACAATTGTATTTAAAACGCGGTCTCATTTAAAGAAAACAAAAAGGAAGTTTATCTTACTTTTGCTACATTCCACAGATTTGTCAACATATTCTGCTACTCTGTGCTCTCTCTTACGACCTTCCAGGTGAACTGTACTCATTCTAACTCTACAGGCTAGTAAGACCGCTCCTTTGTTCCTGATTTGCCCAGAGATTGTCGAAGAAACAAGTGTATATAGAACTTTGGATTAGGGTGGGATCCATAGGTCCTGCAGGGGAGAGGAGGGTGTTGCTGTACATAGACAAAAACATCATGAAGGTGGTATGTCCGAATTTTTAGAAATTGTAAATGGACAATATAATGTAAAACAGATTTATACCCGTTCTGTTTCGGATTAGACAACATTTAGTTTTACTTTCATGAGTTTATTTCAGAGTGACGGATTAGAAATAATATTACGTTGTTAGAGAGCTTGGAAATATCATAAGTGCTTTTCTCCGAAGAAAGTATCGTAACTAAAAACATTTTAGAGCAAAGTTTATAAAAAAATGGTGTCAAGTAGATTGACGCCTTCACTGAAGGTTTCAATTTTTTTATTACTCAAGCTGCCACGGAGGCCTAAGGCCCATGAGTACCGTGAGGCTATAGGGGAAAAAGCGAAATCGAATCCTGATTAGTTATATTTTTCTGATGCACTTCTCAACTTCGTCATCTGATGCTTTTTTGTTCGCAACGATCTATCATCTCACCTTAAAACATACGTATTAAGAACATTTTCTGTGTCTTGTTTGTAAATATGAGGGAACACGCAAGGATTTCAAGACATCTTGCGATGCTCATTTATTTAATATGAAAAATATTGAAATAAGACAGCGCAAAGCGCCATTTGTCGAAATCGAATCGTGATTAGTTATATTTTTCTGTTGCACTTCTCAACTTCGTCATCTGATGCTTTTTTGTTCGCAACGATCTATCATTTCACCCTAAAACATACATATTAAGAACATTTTCTGTGTCTTGTTTGTAAATATGAGGGAACACGCAAGCATTTCAAGACATCTTGCGATGCTCGTTTATTTAATATGAAAAATATTGAAATAAGACAGCGCAAAGCGCCTTTTGTCACTAGAGTCGATGTTCACGTTTGATAGCCCCGTCACCACGTGACCGCTAGATGGCTGACGATTCTGGCTGTAAGGCAGATGTGGTGCACTTGCCATTGAATAAAGTAAACATGATGCACGATACATCCCTCCATGTTTAGTTTGACGAAAAATATTGTTACGAACCTGTATCTATCCCTCTGAGTGCAGGATGGTCGTGATGTTCCTCATGATCCATTGGTCCAGCCTGCGTATCTGCCTCTGCTGCTGACTCCGCCCTCAACCTGTCTTCCCCTCCTCCTTCAGGCCCAGCACCGCCTTCTTCCATTCGAGTGGCTGCTCCGGGCCCAGTGTTGCCGTTGTTCTTCTGGCTGCTGAGAACCTGCATCTCCCACATTTGTTCTTGTCTGATGTCGTCATTGTAATCCTGAAAAGAAAGAAAAAACAATTAAAATTCTGAGATCGATATCTGAGTTTTCTCTTGTCCTTCCAAATTGTAAAGAATCTTGAAAAAGTTCCAACAGCATCGATGATGTTTGGTCGCCTTTGTGGAGATAGGTAAGTGAAATAAATTACAGTGAAACAGTAAATGTGAGTTACTCTAGCGCATTGATTCCCAAAGTGGTCTATATCGACCCCTAGGGGTCTATGACAACTTGCAAGGGGTCTACATCAGCGAAAAAAAAATTGGGGGTCCATGAAATGAATATGGTGGTCCACGATAGTGGATCTCAACACATACACTGATAGTACCTATTTACTGACATCATACTATCTTATAATATCAAAACATATACATTATTTATAAAAGTACCTATGAAGTAAAAAATTTATTATATATGTTTATAAAATTGTGTAAGTTGTAGGATGTTGGTATTCGCTTTGTGGTCGTAATACATTTTGAATTTAAAAACCTGAGAGTCACACCTTGCACTGGGACAAATACGTTTATTCGTTTCCTAAATATTGAAAAGGAAAGTGCTAAGAAAATATTTTAAAAAATATAAACAGATAGTATATCACACAAATTATAGTGAGTCAGTGTTATTTTGTTTGAGTGTGCTGGAGAAAAGTAAGTACATTATTTTTTATTAAATTTTAGTTTTGTACTCATAGTTAGCAAAGATAGATAAATTACGCCAATCATGACTTTAGTTACTAGTAGTTAATTATTCAATCATGCAAAATTACACGAGTACTCCTTAATAGTTTCTTTTTGAAAGTTTTAGCAATCGGTAATATAATTACAGTGCAATCTCCGTAATTCGAGCTAATTGTTGCAAGAAGATGTTCGAATTATGGAATGTTTTCGGAAAAATCAAAAAATATTTTTAATATACAGCTGCTGGATTTTCTGACTTATTTAAATAATTTAATTTTGCCCACAGATGACTGATGTCATGTCCGAATCTAAAAAGAAATGTAGACAGTACAGTGTTGATTATTTGAAATTTGGCTTCATTCCATCATTGCCGGACAAACAATCGCCTATGTGCCTTTTATGCAACAAAGTTTTGGGCAATGACGCTATGAAACCATCTAAACTGCAAGATCATCTGAGAAGATGCCACCCTGATAAAACAGAGAACGATTTGAAATACTTTCAAACACTCAAAGATAAATTTCAGAAGGGATCTACACTGGACAGAATGTTCGCTTCGACGTCACAAAGAAATGATGATGGTTTGCGGGCGTCTTACAATATCTCGTTACTTACAGCAAAATCCGGAAAACCGGATACTATCGGAGAGAAGTTAATTTTGCCAGCCGTTGAAGAGGTTTTAAAAACTGTTTTACACAAACCTGCATCTGATATCATTAAGCAACAATGCTGTTGAAAGACGTATTGATGAAATGAGTTCTTGATATTGAAAGCTTCTAATGTAATTATTTGCAAACGACCCATTTCTCTATACAACTGGACGAGTCAACTTTACCTGATAATGCAGCATTATTATTGGCATATGTTCGTTTTATTATGAATCAAGAAATCTACGAAGAACTGCTCTTCGCAAGAACTTTGATAACCGACACTAAAGGTGAATCAATATTTCATGTTTTGAAGGATTACTTCATTGAAAAGCAATTCCTTTATCAAATATAATATCAGTAGCTACAGATGGAGCACCTGTCATGGTTGGACGTTATCGTGGATTTATAAGCTATTTAAAACAAAATGTGTCAGGGGTGTTAGCAATACATTGCGTCATCCATCGACAACATTTAAAAATTTGAGTGTTAGATTGCATGAATCACTTCATTTAGTCATTGATGCAGTAAACCGAATCCGAAGCAACGCGTTGAATACGCGGTTATTTGCGCAGTTGTGTGAAGAAAATGACCAACACTTTCATCAATTACTCCTTCACTCTGAAGTACGCTGGCTGTCGAAAGGCTTATGTTTGACAAGATTTTTTGCACTTTTTGAGACTATTTTAGAATTTCGGGATACTAAAGATAAAATTTTGAATCTAGGTTTGAGGATATTTTGAATACCACCGTGGATAATTAATCCATATGGTGACATAGAAGAAACGAATGTCATAATACAAGAGGAACTGACTGAACTAAGTACAAACAAAGAACTTAAGGTTCAGTTTAAAAACGGATATCAGCAATTCTGGCTGCAAAACAACATACCCGTTACTTATCCCGTATTATGGAATATAGCGAGGAAATTTTTAATTTCCTTTCCATCGTCATACCTAGTGGAAAGGGGGTTCAGCGCTGTTACCAATCTCCTAACGAAAAAAAGAAACAGACTGGACATCATTAGCCGAGGAGATTTAAGATTAACCCTTACAAAATTGACGCCAAATGTTGATAATTTATTATTAAAGCATCAGGTTCATCCTTCTCACTAAAAATATTGACTTATTGCTTATGTTATTTTATTTATAGTTTGTTTTATGTTTATTGGTGTCTGACCAATAAATGCCCGCATTGGGAATAAGTGCCCGCATTGATTTTTTTAAAGAACCCCCCTTTATGGAAAATATTTTTTTTAAATTATTCTGAAAATTCAAGGATAGGTACACACTAAAATTCGTTAATTTTTTGCCTATTTTTAGATAACTTAAACGTATAAGAAGCGGAATTTAATCAAACTAACAGTGAAATTATTGTAGAACATACATTTATGTTATAATTAATAAACGAACTCGCTTATTGTAATTTTAAGTAAAAAACTTCTTTTTTTATTATTTTTCACTTTTTTTTTTATTTTATCCCTCTTATTTTTTTTTTCAATGCGGGCACTTATTCCCAATGCGGGCACTTATTGGTCAGACACCTGTTTATTTAATGTTACGTATATTTTACATAACAGATACAACATTTTATTTTGAGTAGTTTTAATTTAAATTCAATTAATAAATGTATAAATGAATATGTGCTTTTACTTTAAGTTTTTAATACTAAACTTCACTACCGTTAGAAATTTACAGGAAATCAATATCAGGTAAGTAGGGGGTCTACCCAGCACGGGAAAACATGGCAAGGGGTCTACGACACAAAAAAGTTTAGGGAACTCTGCTCTAGCGGATAAGGTGGAACTTAAAAGTGAATAATAGCATCACATTAGAACCCTACAGGGTGTACGACCTTAAAAAACGGATAAAGACAAATAATCTTAATTAAGAACCAGTTATACATTGTTAACTATTCAAATTTGTGAAACTCTCAAAATATAGTTTGAGGTTATTTTATGAGATTCGGAATGCAAAATTATTTGCGTTACAAGATTTCACTCTTTAGTCCAATCTAAGGAAGAGGTTGACGGCCAATATCTCAAACTAAAGCCACCGATTTGAAGTCTAATCGTAAACTAATCCATTTTTTTACTAAAAAAATAAAAATAAATAGCAAATATATATAACTTTTAGGGAGAGTATATCATTTTTCTAAAATCTTCGGAAGAATATCAACATTTTGCCCTCAAAAAGTGTACGAGTATTCTGTGCATTTTCATTTCTTCCTATGAAGTAGATGAGGCAAAACTTGTGGGGGTAATTAAAACATTTGGGTATTCTTTGAGTATCTGATTTCGTATTCAACTGTGTGAAACTAGCCACCGCCAGACAACAATTTCAGATGTTATAGTTTTATTCAACGACGCCTCGACAAAGAACACAACCAACTGAGCGCGAATTCTATTCGTCTGCAAGTTGTGAAGTTGTGAAGTAACGTAATGAGCTTTTCCACGCCTTGTTTTTCGAATTTAACTCTAGCTCATAGAGACATGTGGCAAATGATTTTTGTAATATTTTTATTAATGCTTATCGTTGATAGTAATATGAAATGTATACGTTTGATCGGTGTCCGGAATAAAATTAAATCTTATTGTATAATAAAAAAGCGATTACAGACCTCATCACCCTTGAAAAAAGAACGTAACCAGTCTATTCCAGCTACTTGAAAATTAATTGTGTCCACGTGGAGAATATCCAACAATACGGCATTTTTTATACTGATCCTTACTCCCGAAAATCTAGACCTGGTGTTGCTGGAACATATACATGTATATATGCATATAACTATATAATAATAATAACAATAATTAACGTCTTTTATTTGTAATATTCTTACAGGAGGCGAGATTTAAATAATATATCTATTCTACCATTTAACCCCCTTAACAATACGAGATGTAAAAAAAACAGAAGTTGTTGAAAATTAATACCTGTATACAATAACGACAGAAAAAGTATAATCTAAGTAAAGGCTTACGGTAAATATGAGGCCACTTATGGGTTACAACAGATTTCGCTGCTTTCACTTTTTTCTTGAATTTGGGTAACGGATTGGTTTCTTTTAAACTGCGGTCTAAAGAGTTATACGATTTGATCGCATTGTAAATATATGTATTCTGAAATAGAGATGTGCGGTGGCGTGGAATTGAAAAAGTCTCTCTATATCTAATATTAATGCCATGCATATTCCCTCTACATTGTTTACTAAATATGACGGTGCATTTGAATAAAGAACCTTATGAGTCAGATTTAGGAGCGGTTACTCATTAATGGCATTCGATATATGATCATACTTTCTGGGACCATTTACGCCTGCCATGCCCTGTGTATCAGTTGATGTATGATGTACCTAAACGGGTACAACGTTTCCTAATTTTCAAACTATTGTATATGGTAAATTCGCCCTATACATCGTTCAGAACTATTCAGGGTGTCAGCCAATTTTATATACTCGTATCCAGGGAAAACCAAATTTGTCCGACGGCTTAAGTTCAATCTGTAGGAGAGAAGCGCGAGAACTGTGTATCAATACATGTTAGAAAGAGATAGATGGTCATCACCACATTGCCTTGCAACGGTGACGCAGGAGGTCATGCAATCTGCCGCGTTGTCATTACGTAACAGCAGAAAATGTTCGCACAGGCTTCTACAATAGGTTAGGTTATTGTTAAACCCAAGAAGGAGATCTGTTCGAACATTTGATTTAATATTTTGTTTTAATTTTGATAAGAATTATTTATTTCAAATTTGATACGACTTAATGTTTTAATTCATTTTAGAACTATCTTTGATTTTTACCGATGGTGGTAAAATCAATAGATTCTGAGTTATTGTTACATTTTGCGATAGCGAGCGATCGGAGATGCAACAAAAACCATTACGCAATACAAATTATCACTGCCTGCAGGAGAAAACCATTTCGAAGCAGGACAACACTCCTCAATGAGCGCTAGATGGGTACTGACCAAAATCGGTCATCTATGATCATGGAGATGGAAACCTTGCCTTGGAATGTATGAGATGCAGAGTTGCCAAGCGACCCAATGATGCAATGCGGCGAACCTGAGCTTTCATTTTGACCTAAAATGGAGCGACGCTAGGACCGTTCCGGAATCGATCCAAAACAGATTCTACACAATTCACAATTCAAAAATGTGTACACCTAAATTAAAACCGTTATTTGGGTGTAGAGAATAAACTAACGCATATTTTCAACATGCATCTTAATTGAAGGAACTGGTGTAATATATTGGCGACGCGGAACATTGCCGCGTCAGCGTTGCTAGGCAACGCGGTGATGAACTTCGCTATCCAGCTGGCTTATATATCTTTATAACATATGTGTCTATACACACTTCTATCTCGTACACATTGAACTCAAGCCATCTCATAACAACTGCTTTTGAATTTCGTTGTCACATTTTTTAGTTGGTAGATCACGCTGCAAAATATGGAAAGTAATAGTACTGTAAGCAACAGTCGAAAACGACTCCATAGCGACACTTTGAAAAACTATGAACTTATTTGCATTAACAGCTGAATGCTTATACCTATACTTCTTAGAACTACACCAGAACCGTTCAGATTCTGCGCAGTCGGTTCTCGTGATGTCAGACCTGATTTGTGATTGGCTATATGCATCGTGGCGCACCATTCGTGGGATAAATTATGTTGTTGACAGAAGAGAAACTATGGGCAACTAATGAAGCCAGAAGCCGGAGAAAATGAGAAAAATACCTATATTTAACTCAACGCTACCCAACATGCTGCAATTTTGCAAGTACTATCATGCTGGGACATGTAGCGGACCACTAAGGGGCTTTAGTTAGTATGCCTGGATAATCTTACACTTTAGAAGGCCGACATGATAGTGCCGTCGAGCTTTTCTATCTGACAGAGGCTATAAAAGATTTTCCCTGTCAAAAAACGTTAATCAAAGTGAGTGTGCCAGTTGATATTTAATTCTTGCAAATATACTAAGTGACATATAAATCCGAACACCCAGTTTAAATGGTTTTATTTTAATAAAAGTTGGTGAATGTATTTATCTTACTGTAAATAACAAGTGAAAAAATTTTCAGCCTTATCAGTTGGACATTCCGGTTTTTATACTGCTTTTTTTTAATTCACTAACGCTCTAAAAATCAATATTTCAGCCGCAGTAAAGAATCAACGTTGGCGGATTTTGGTTCTTGACATCCTTTACGATAGGTTACGATGCCTAGAGTACGGAGACCTGTACGATTTCGTCAACTTAGTGAGTTTGATAGGAGCCGTATAGTGGGACT